GGAAGAGCGATTAGGATGTTTTTAGAGGACGAGGATGAGTTTGCGATGATAGCAGAGAATCTCTTCACTGATTTAGATGCAGAAGATAAGGGAAAGATCCGCAAGAGTGAAATTCGCAATGCTCTTGGTCACATGGGAGTTGAGATGGGTGTTCCTTCCATTTCAGGTTTGCTTTAAATCATTTTTCTTCCTTACTTGATTATGGAATTGTTTCTAGTTCCTAAATGGTGAGAGTACAAAGAAACAGTGTCAAATAGACTTGTTAATGTTTCACCTTAATTTTAAATATATAGTTTTCTTCCTTGTGCTACTTAATGTCCTTATTCACTTGTAAACTTAAACAACCCTTTTATTTCTCTATTATTTTTTCGGGAATTCGGATGATTTTGTTCTAAAGCCTCCTCATTTATCCTAGGATTTTAAATCTCTGGCCAACCGTAGCCTACTATAGTGTTAATCTGTTGTTCTGTACATGAAAATGCTCTTGATTTGATAAAGATGATAGTTGGGTAACTGTGATTGATCAGAGTTTCCTCTACTGAACACCATCTTGAAGAAACATGGGGCAGATGGAGAAGAAGAATTGGGCCAAGCGCAATTTGCATTGTTACTTCAGTGTGTTCTACAAGATCTAGAAGATGCCTTGTCTGAAAAGCGTGTTGTTCTCGTCCAGAACATCAGGATCGTTGATGGTTCCAAGCTAAGCAGGGTATTTTATGTTCACATCTCTAGGACTTTGTTATTTTGTCTTAACTTTTACTTTGTGATTTTTTTTTTTTTTTTTCAAAAAGCATATTTTTGTGAAGTTCTCAACAAAATTCCCAACTTAAAACGTAACAATACTAGTGGATATTTAACATATCAGGAATAAGATGAATTTGCCATTTGCTTAAAATTTTTATGGCATATCAGGAATAATATATTTTGGAATTCATAAGCAGTGATTAATTATATGGCAACTCTTTGTGATAATTTGCAGCTATTGGCTGATGAGAAGCAATTTAGCAATGTTGTAGAGAAGATACTGCAGGAAAAGCAGGGGGGAAAAGATAGCTCAGGGGTTGCACAACTGGTGAGGAGTTTCCTTGAGAAAAACGGATCAGAGTTGGGTTTGCCACCATATGAAGCCAACGAGGCTGTTGTTCTTCTGTACGATTCGATCTTTACTGAAATAGGGAACAATAAGACTGCTTCGGCAGTTGATAGGGATGAACTTTTCAATCTTACAAAGGGGATTCTCGAGAAATTCGCAGAGCAGCTAGAAGCCAATCCTGTGTATCATGGTCTTGCTCAGTGAAAGAGAGACAAGTTGGTGGTGTCCTGCATACAAAATCCGCATTGGCAGAGCTTGTTGTTTGTCCTGAGAATCTACTTAGTTTTTTCCGAGGATCCCTTTGTATTATCATAAATTCAGATGTTCTCCCATAATCCATATATATTCCGAGGATCCCTTTGTATTATCATAAATTCAGGTGTTCTCCCATAATCCATATATATACTAGCTAGTATGAAGAGAAGCATATATTGTAATCGGTTAGTTTGATACATGCCCTTCTTAAAATTCTTCTCTATACTGTTTACTGATCGTATGGATATAATACAAACAGAATTGAGCTTTTGATACAAAGAAAAACTTTTGAAAACAAAATGAAATCACATATTGGTCCGGTTTACTTTAAGGAAGTGAGTTGTGTAATTTACATTTTTCTCTCATTGTTTTTTCTTGGCTGCTTGGTATGATGCATAGGCTATAGAGTATCTTAGTGGGATTTTTACTTTTGACCCTATGCGACAAAAGGTGATCATTTTATGATGAAATGCTTCAGACGATGGAGATTTTTTCTGTTCATAGTGTGGTAGGTCCAAAGGTTCCAATTACTTGCATATGTTCGAGGCTGGAATTTCATTGGATGCTATAAAAAGCCCGAGGGCTCCTCTTGGACTCTGCATGAGGTGCTATAATTCCATTGTCTCAAGATTCAATGCAGCCATTATTTGATAAGATTGTTGCTTCTGTAAAATTTCAAGTGGAAATTAGGCACAATGAAAAGAGAACAAAACTTCTCCTAGAGAAACAGAGAAGAATGAGGGAGGATTCTGTATTGGATAAAATATAGGTAAATATTGGATTCTAGTAACAAAAAATGGACTTTCTCTCGCAAAGTCTTCTCACCGATAGGGTCAGGTTTTGACCGTTGTATTTAATAAAACTTTTATATGAAAGTTTAAATTTAGCAAAAAAATTGAAATATTATAAGAATAGCAAAATTTTCTATCATTTATAGTACAAAATATGATATCATTATGATAATTACCATGTCATTTTTACTATATTTATAATATTTTAAAAATTTTGCTAAATTTCAACTGAAGGTATGAAATTTTGCTATATAGTGTAATTACTTCACATCCGGTTGAGAAAGTATATAGAACCGATAAATTCTTATTTAAATCCCACGATTGATAATAGAAAATTACCGGTAGTTTATTTTTTCTGATCTTACTGAAAAAACTCAAAAAAAAAAAAACAAAAACCTTAAAAACATCTCTTAAAAACATGCTTTCTCTACGGTGAGACCTCTTTAAAAAATTCACTGTGGGACACCTTGTTTTAACCGAATCACTTTTTCAATAGTCATATTTACAGAGAGAAAAGTTCTGTGCGACGCGCTGTAAATTTTTAATATGGATATGCACAGATTTGACCATTAAAAACTCAATCTAACGGTCAAAATAAAGTGTTCAACTTGTGAGTTTTTTTAAGAGATCTCCCCGTAAAAGCTCCCTAAAAACATTTTTAGAGTATTGATTCAAGCACATATGGACACAAATACAATGCAAGAGGGTATGATCAAGATCGCATTGCAAAAAGTGCACTTGAAAAGCGCGCTATGCTACTTGCACGAGTCACTAACAAACCAGAAAAAGCTGTAAACTGTCTGTTTTTTAGTTTTTACTAGTTTTGCCCCATTTTGGGTTTACCAAAAAAGGCAACTTGGAAAGGCTCAATAGGAAATGCGAATATGTCCCATTGCTAACGTTGGAATTTCCTCAGCCAATTGCCAAAAGTCACTCTCAATCCAAGCACCTTTTGGGTTCTCATTTCCCTTCCACGTAACGAGATGGGATCCCCTTGTTTACTTGGCGAACCTTATTCCTCAAAAGTTTTAGCCACGATAGACATTATCCGCCTGCAAATTTGAGCCACTAATCTGTTGTGAATAGCCAAAGCCCACCATCGACGTGCCCAACGGTTTTCACACTTCTCCATCGAAGAGATAATACCATATATGCATGTAGCGCTTTCATTGAGATATAAAGAGGATCTACACATCTCAATTCATTTAAAATGTGATGGAACAGTCTGATAGCTAACTGAAATATAGACCTTAGAAGATGGAAACACGACTTTTGAATTAAGGGCAGAACTAGAAATAAGTGAGGATTGACGGATATATATTTTCATAATATTTTTTATATATTTTAAAATAATATAACTCTATATTGTGAGAGGAAGGACGAGCATATAATTTTTAACTTTTCAGAAAAGTCATGCAAACTGTAAAAGTTCGATGAATATCATATAAAATTAAAAAAAATTAACAAAGAAAATTAGTCAGAGTGGTCGCATCAGTCATGCGTAGCTCCACTCCTGCTTGGAATATTCCCTACTGAATATCCATAACAAGAGAAGGAATTGATAATGAGTTTTGATCATGCGAGTTGAGAATTGTGATAAGTGTCATGCTTTTAATAGTCATATACTGATACTATACCCGTTTTATCACGACATTTATCTTTGAATAATCCTATTCAACCTGTCGGGATCAAATGAGGCTCTCTTGTGAGAGAACCCGACCAACACCGGCTGATTAAACAACGTCTCTCTCTCTCTCTTTCCAATTTTGTGATAAAGATAATGGCATGGTTAATTTGTCACCATCATAAGGAGCAGGACCACAAGTAGTGATATTAAATGGGCTATCCTGCCATGGCAGTATGAGAATTGTCTGACGAATTCACATCTGCTCAAAAGAGGACAACAAGGACAGCAACCTAAAACCAACCACAAATAGTTGACTATAAATTCTTTTTCTGAATAATTCTCAGATGATTTCTTTATTGGATGCCAAAGAATCCAAGAGCAAGAAATGAATGTAAGGTTCACCCTCCCACTTTGCATTGCTCAACAGTCAATACTCACCCCCTAACTCGTGGTCCTCAAATTATGGCAAAGTGATGTAATCCAAAGACTAATTCACAATGAAAAGGGAAAACAATTACTCATAGCTGAACAATGAATTAGCTGAGGAAAATGATATGAAAAGGATACAAGGCGAAAATTATGCTATCCTTAAGGCAGCAACATGCTCCAAAAGGCAAAAGCTAAAAACGATTGGGAGCACAAGAGCTTCCCTTATACATTATCACCATATTCAGAACGGGAGATCAACTTAACTGCTCAAACTAATAACTGCCCATAACCATAAGCAATTCTCTGAGAAACGTGATATTATTGAATAAACTATATCTTCCATTTTCTTGAAGCAAATATTCATCCGCCCATGAACTACTTCATTCTTTGCCATCGGCAGCACGTAGCGAGCCAAGTTGAACCGGCGCTTGGGTTCCCACCACCTTTGATGACCCATAAATAGACAGGTCAACACCTTGTGTCTTCTCTTTCTCAATCTGTTCTTTGATCCAGAAGTATGTAATTCTCAGCCCATCCTGAAGAGTAGCCATAGTTGGAATTAGTTTTCTCTTCCCTTAATATTCACTGTTAACTTTTGATTCCCAAAGAAATCCAACTTTAAAACATGGTTGATGTACAAAGGAATAGCAGGGAAAAGAAATTACCTTCAACCTCATGGTTGGAGCCCAACCAAGTTTTTCTTTGATCAGTGTGTTGTCGGAGTTACGACCACGGACACCCTCAGGACCAGGGATGTGGTGGATAGGGAGCTTCTTGTCCTCAAAGCTAAGAACAATCTCAGCCATTTCATTCATGCTAACCATTTCGTCACTTCCAATATTTACTGGCTCACGGAAGTCAGACTTTGTCAACCTGAACAAAGTCATCAATATCAGAACTTGTAAACCCCCGAGAAAAGAATGAAGCAATTTCAGAACGAGGCCAACTGCCAACTAAAAGAATTGGCAATGCATTGTAATGGAACTTAGTCAGAAATGCAAAATGGTGCATACACAGAAAATATTATGCACAAATATTACTTTTGAGGCAGACACAATATTTTTCTAACAATTAGAAGTGCTTGTTGGCATCATAAAAGTATGTATTTGGAAAGAAAATACATTGCTCGTCAACACATCTGACATAAACTTCTACCAAATTAAAAGAGCCTCCAACCAAGTGACATCAATAAAAGTTCAACATTTTGTTCGGAATAACTAAGGAGATGTTTCAACCGTTACTAAAGAAACCAAATTCAACATGGAGTTGACAGAAAATAGAACATCAATATTACAGGTCAATAGTATTTCAACATCCATAAATCTGAACAGAAATAGCTTAAATGAAAACAAACAAACGAACAAAACAGGAGTACTAGTTAATCAGCGAATGCTTACCTAAGGACACCTTCAACACATTCATCAATGAAGGTAAAGGATCGTGTCTGAAGTCCGTCTCCCCACATCTCAAACTTATCAGTAGAGGTGATAGCCTTTCTGCAAAAGGCAGCAGGAGCCTTCTCCCTCCCGCCTATATGACAGATAATATAAACACATCAAGAATCAGAAACTAACAAAGTTTAGCTCGAATGATTCTTTCGCAAAACTACTTTTCAATCATGAACTTTACCTTTCCATGTTCCAAAAGGACCATAAATGTTATGGAAGCGTCCAACACGGCACTCAATTCCAAAATCCTTGGTGTAGTGCTTGCACAACTCCTCAGTTGCAAGCTTCTCTAATCCATAAGCATCTTGAGGCTAAAACAACATTAAGAAAGCAAATTCATCAAGATAAATCCACAACTTACATTTTAGATACCAACAAATCAAACATTTAATAACATTAACCAGCGATAGAATTACAAACAAACCTCAGCAGGCCACGCATCAGACTCCTTCAAGCTCACATTAGTCTCCAGTTGTTTGAACTCGGGGTAAATACAAGCACTGGAGGCATAGAAAAACCTGCCAAAAACACAAACGTCAAACATTTGAAAACGGTGAAATCACAATCCAAGTCACCGCCTAAAGCACATGATCAATGAACTCACTAATCAAAAAGAAGAAAAAAAATCTTAAAATTCACAACTCAAGCGAAGTCGATTAGAGGCTGCAAACCTTTTAACACCACTGATCCTGGCAGCTTCAAGCATGTTGAAGCTAATCATGGTGTTGTTATACATGATTACAGAGTGATTGGACTGGATAAAGCCCATCCCACCCATATCAGCAGCAAGGTTGAAGACATGGTCAACATCTTTGGTAACCTTTAAGCAATTGTCCATCACCCTAAGGTCAACAAGATGGAACTCATGGCAGAACATGTCTTCTGTCATGTGCTCGTTCTTCTTCCAATCGGAAGCGATAATGTAATGGCCCTCGCTCTTCAAACGCCGGGCAATGTGGGAGGCTATAAATCCGCCTGCCCCGGTGATCGAAATCCGGAGCTTTTCTGATGGCCAGTAAGGCTCCCTCTCAAGGTTCTCATAGGTGTGAGCACCATAGTCAGTTCCACCAGTGCTTCCCATTCTGCAGTAACGTTAAATCATCATATCAGACAAGCATTAAAGGGTCAAATTTTACAGATTTTACTAATGGGCAAAAAGAAAAATCAACACCCCTGATGTAAAAATAAACAACGCCAAAGGACACTGCTGCTAACAAAGGGACGACACTTCTACCACATCAGAATACCAACCATCTAATTGAAATCCTAATCTCAACTTGTTGCAGTAAAATGATTTCTTTTTCCTGTAACCACCAAAGGGGATAAAAAAAATATAAAAAAAAAAGGAACGAAGAGATTTAACGGGTAGATAATCAGTATAAAGGCAAATAACAGCATAAAAATACGACCTTTTCATGAAATTGACAACACGACGCAGTAGAAAGTAGATAAGAACTGCAAATTAATATGTCAAAATGAATTAACATATTCCAGAAGCAAAAGAAGTCATTAAAGTAGAAAAAGGGGGAGGAAAGACAATATCTTGTGAATATGCCAAATTCAAATACCCATCTCAAAGTACATAAAACAATTTTTGTAAAAAAATTAAACTTTACAAGCGTATATGAAAATATGTTTACCAGGAGAACCTAGTATAAATGTCGAGCATATATAATGTGACCCAGAAAGCCATTACGCAAGAAGCTTTAAAGAAACCATTGTATATATATACATACAAATTTATTAATGTATGTAAGTATACATTATATATTAGAAAACAAGAAAACCCAGATGGGAATTTTACCTGTGAAACGTTAAAAGTCGGGTCTTTGGAAGCGAAGAGAAGAAGAAGAAGATAACCAGAGAGGGCAAGTTTAGTTGAGTTGAGACTTGAGAGGAGGTGATTGAATGGGAATGGATTCAAAGCCTCCAATGGGCTTTCCTATATATAGACAGACTTTGTTGAGAGGAGGAAGAGCAGCCAAACAAGGCCGTTGTTTGGTAAGAGGATTCATATCCTAATTTAACTCATAATTTATAAGTTGTTATGTATTTTTTTTCATAAAAAATATATATAAATTAAAAATAATTTTAATTTTATGATTTTAATTTGTGCACCAAACGTTGACTTCGTTCATTTTATCGATTTGAGTTTTTAATTTTATCACATTTAATTTTTTTTGTTATAGTAAAAAAAAATTTAAAAATATTACGTCTCAACTCAAATTAAAAACTCAAATTTGGGAAGTGAACTGTATTATTGCTTGCAATCTCAAATTCAAGAGAGAGAAAAAAGAGGAGAGAGAGCTCCACTTCCGTAGGAAAATTACAATAATTAGAGAGAGAGAGGGGAACAGTACGGAGTACCGAAGGAAAGAAAAAAGTGTTTCCTTTTGTGTTGTTTCGTGGTTGGACCATCTCGGTACATTTTTCTTAAAATTGGACTTTGTATATATATTTTTTTCCTTTTTTATGGATTTTTTTTTCTTTATTTGGTTCCGTGAACTCTTTCATTTTGGCATAGAATCTTTGGAGAAATATTCCTCCTCTCTCTCTCTTATTTTTCTTTTCTTGAATAAGAAATAGGGAATTTCCTTTTGATGTATATTGCATAGTAACGTGTAAATAGTCCTGTTAAGCAAAAAGAGAGAGAAAAAAAAAAAGGGTAAAAACTCGAATGTTTATGGAAATAATTATGGGGACACTGGCGCAACTGGCACTATGAAATAATAATAATGAATAAAGATTCCTGGTATTCTTTTTTCTGTTGAAAGGATAAATCCTGTTGTATAATGTCATGTGTTTCAACTTGAATAAAGATTCTATCAAATAAAAAACTTGAATAAAGAATTCAGTCTACAGGTAGACCTCACACAATTGAATAAAATTTTAAAACCTACCCAACTCCATTGTACCTTTAATATTGAGACTTTTTTTGGTACTACAACATACTTGTAGATTAAATTTTATGCTCGTTATATCTGAATAAAATTACGTAAAAATTAAAAAGTACGTAGATCTAACGATTAAAAAAATTTAATCTATCGGTACGCTAGGCGTACTAGATAACCTCCATATTATTTTTGTAAAAATCATTTTTTAAGGATAAAAATAAGAAAAAATAGAGAATTTATCTTTAAGAGTGTGTGAGTCTGGACTTTTATTCTTACTCTTAATAAATATCATTTTATTAGTATAATTATTTAACTAAAAAGATTATAAATCAAAAATAAAAGTAAAAATTTTGATCCATATATTTTTTAAGAAATATTTGTCAGATCACCCTAAAAATAATGTTTTAGGTACGAAAATGTATTGTCATTTTTTTGTAGTTTATTATGCATTTTGGACTCACTGAGGAATCCCCTGGGATTTAGCTAGGGCCCAAACGCGATGGGGCCTATCACGTGTGGAAAAGAGAAGATTCGGGGAAAGAGGATAGAAAAATGCAAGGCCCATCATGGTGGGACCAAATGAAATTACTCCGAAATTGCTTGTCACTTGATCTTTCCACACTTACCATTATCATATATCAATCTATAATTCTGTTTCATTATTGGAAATGATTTTTAGTTAGTGCACTTTTTCTCTCAATCATTAATCATCTAATCTAGCTTTTGTCACTTGAAATATCATCAATTCGTCCCTTGACCTCTTCTTTCTGGCTCATCATAGTAAAAATTTTGCATCTTCGCATTGAAAAATCAATTTTCCCCTTAAGAAGAAAAAAAAGTTAATCCCCTAAAAAAATTTGTTAAATCAATTTGAGTCCCCACATCCCCCTCCAAAACACACACATACTTTTTTTTTTGCATATATAAAAGATATTCATTCAACACAAATCAAATAAAGAAACAAACAGACATCTAGCGAATATAGCAACATCTACAAACACAAAGACAAAAATAAAAAATAAAAAATAAATTGCACAGGCTTAGAAGGAATAAACAAAGGAAGAAAGAGGGAAAGAACAAAAAAGATAAGTTGGCTTAATTTGGTAGTGCTGTAGATTTTAAAAAATTTATTTTTAGCTGTGCTGAAGGAAAAACCAGTTGTAATAAAAAGCAGGTGAGTGTTTAGTAAACAAATTATAATAGTTGCGCTCGTTCTAAAATCAGTATAATAGCGTTTGGTAAATTATGAGGTTGAATTGAGGTGGATAGTTAAAAATTATGACTATATACTATAATATAATATATATATATATAATTATTGTGACGACCCTCCTAGGCGGCCGTCATTGTAGCTGAATTTTAACTTGTACTTACTAAAATTTTCTTAGAATTTGCGGAACATTTTTAAAATAAAATAAAAAATCTTATAGTAACATATACTATGAATTGCTTTCTTGATCGAAACATTCAAACCTTAATATATATATATGATTCTCAAAACATGTAGATATATCTATATGTATATACCTACTATTTAAATCCTGCTTACTAATAGCCATAATCCACAAAACCATTTAACATATAGTTTCAGAATAATAATTAGCAAAACTATTTGTAACATAAAATTGATTGCAGAAATATTTGCGAGCGGTATCCATTTCCCGGCCTCCACATCGTTCGTCCACTCGTCATCAGTCCATCAGACATTATATGCTGGTTGCTTACCTACAGTATAAACATTCTACAATGAATTTTCGCTCAGCAAGTAGGAACTATCTCTCGCAAAAATAACTGTAAGTTCACATGAATAAATATGCATGAACTGATTATGCTTAATTATGATGTTTTATCATAGTCTTATTATCTTATCTTATCTTATCTTTCTTACTGATGGGCCCGAGTGCTCGTACCACTTGGCGCAATTATCGGGACGTGAGGGTTTGCAAGGTCCCCCATGACACCGTGATTATAACTGAACTGAACTGAACGCCTCCCTCTCAGAGGACATTATTATTATTTTTTTCTTCTCCCTTGGGAGCCTGAGTTACCTCCCTCTTAGAAGCTGGTACGGCACTCAACTGAGATTATTCTTATAAGTTCTTCTTGACTTATTAAGGTGTATGAAATATGACATAGCATAGCATACCATAACATGAAATGTACTCAAACACATATAATTAGTGTGCACTGCTTAAGTGTATGCAGCATGACATAGCATCGCATACAATACTGAAAGCATAAACATGCATATATAACATATGTAACTTTTTCTTTAAAATCTATTCATATTGTAGGCGAGATTCCTACTTACTTGATTTACAGAGCTAGAATTCACTTTTCGCCAAACAGCCTAGTCTCTTACTTGCTTACTTCTGAAAATGAACACTCATTAAGAGTGTGAGATTAACTGTCGTTTGCTATTCTATTTTAGCAACTTATGAAGAAAAATCTAATCCTTTCCTTAAGGCATGTATTCCTCTAATTTACTAAAGGATAATAAGGATTAATTTATTAAATCCTCAAAATCTTATTTTCCTTAATTGACATTAACATCTATTTGCCTAGATTGAAAATCAATTACCCAATCTAGTAATTTATCCTCTATAATCTACCTCATTGGACTTGTTATACCATTAAGGCCCAATTCGGCCTTGAACTTATTCACGGCGTTCTAACTCTTAGGCCGTTGAAATTTAAACTCAAACGGGGTCTTTTGAATAAATGCAAGCGTTGAACCCACATCCAATCTTTGAAATCCTAAGGTCCCATCGCATTGGGCTCGTTGGGCCGTCGGGATGATTTGCTCGATAAACCATTAAATTCTTTAAAAGAAAGCATTTTTCTTGAAGACTTTCTTTACGAATACTTTTGTTAAAACGAGGTTTAATACCATAGTATTTTGCTGAAATCACATATCGGGTTCTTTGATAATTTTTTGTTAAAAACCAACACTGTGTCAGTTTTATTTTGTTAAACCATGCAGTTTCTGAAATCTGCATTTTACTGCATCTTAGAGTCGGATTTCAAAATTTTGTTATTCGCAACAATTCTTCGTCTCGTTGAGATCTAAAATTATCGTTTTTGGTGAAAGTTGAAATTCAGCCTCTAAAGGCCTCGTTTGGTTGAAAACAGTGGCTGTTGTGTTTTTTTTTTTTTTTTTTGCTGTAGGAAATGTTGTAGCAATGTTTTTAAAATGCTGTAGGAATGCTATAACAATGCTGTAGCAATTTTTGAAACTGTGTTGGACAGTCTGTCCGTTTTTGTAAAAATGGCTTCAAACTTACTTTTAGAGTTAAATTTGGGTTTTGTCATAGTCACAGAAAACGTTCAAAACATCAAGAGCTATACGTTTAAACTTAAAAATACTGAAAAATCTCGCTCTAGGGTCCTCATTTTCGTGTTCAAAGTAACCGGAAAAATTTTCTTCCAACCCAAAATAAGTAACTTAAACCAAACATAAGCATACCAAATAATCCTAATCAAACGAACCTCAAAACTCACAAAACCAACATAAAACTCACACACCCTTATTACAACTCATCTCCTTAAGAACCACAAATTACATCCATAAATTAAAGCTTAAAGTTGGCTAGAAAATAATGGAGAAAAGTTTAAGAACTTACCCTTGAAGAACTCTCTCTCTTGAAAACCCTTGAGATGAATGTTTCTACATTTCAAACTTTACTAACACGTGAGAAATAGAGGATTTACAGTTTATACCCTTGGAGAAATGCTTGACTAGAGTCCTCCTAGAATCCTTTGATCTCCTTCTTCTGCCTCTATTGCTTACTAGTGGTTTAAGGTTAGGAGAATAAGAGAAAATTTTTGAGAGAGTATGGGTGTAATGTGTGTGGCCGGTTTTGGGGTGGAGAGAAAATGAGAGGAGTAAAAAAAATGAGGCTTAGCTTATGATGGTTCCTTTTATAGACAAGTTGGTGATAATTTATTTAACCCCAATTCACTCCATTAATCAACCAAATTTTGGTTCAAATCTCCCATGCATGGCCGGTTATAGATGGAGAAAAGAATGAGTAAATATGCCATGATTTCCCCTTCAACTACTAGTATCACATCACCTTACCATGAAATCCTCTAGCACACTCAACTAGCCAAGTTTTGCTCTAATTTCACTATGCATGGCCGCCCAAGTGGAGAGAGAGAGAGAAAAATATAACCTATCCCCTTGTACTTTTGGCCACTCACTCAAATTTTTTCGTAAAACTGATCAAAATTATATTGACTGTAATTTTCTCATGTATATATATATTGCATGCTAATTCGTACTATGCTTGGAGATTCTTGGAATTAAAATTCTCAAACTGTATCTGTACTGGAAATTCTTCCGCTTTAAAGTACGGCGAGAATTTAATCGATCGAATTTACTTGATCGTAAAACATGTACTTAACATGAAATCTGCTATAGAATTTAGGAATACAATTGTTAATTCTGTAAATCCTACAGTCATAATATATTTTTTTACAGTAAAAATTCTTGACCTAAATACATCAATTGCATTATTTAAATTCCGAGATTTTCTTGGTCATTACAATTACAATATAATATATATTTATTATTATATTTAATATAATACAAAAAAACTATTATTATATAACATAATATAATTAAAAATTACAACTATATTATATTATAATATATTATAATATATTATATAATCATTATTATATTATAGTAAACAAATATATTATATAACCAATAATACACTATAATATATAATAATATTAGAATTATAAGATTATATTAATATTTAATTATATTAATTATTATAGTATTATTAATATACTAAATATAATTATATCAATACAATATAATATATAATATATTATAAAATAATAATTACAATATCATATTATAATTATATTATAATTATAATATCATATTATTAACATAATTATAATATTATCATAATATCATATTATATGATTAAATAATAATATTAGCGTTATTAATATAATTATGATATTATTTGTTATAATATTACTATTATATTATATTACGAGTCTGAATTTTAGATTGGAAAGATTTAGAATTTTAAATTTTATTAGGCGTATTATGGGTATTATAAAAATTTCATTAATTATACTATGTTGATTCCCACACAATCTAAAAGCTAAAGTTGTCTTTAGACTGCTTCTGATTTTAACTGTAAATTCTTGAAAAATTCTTCAAAAAACACATTTGAAGTGATTTACTAAATACTAAAATCAACTTCTACTACAAGCAGAAGCTGATTTTAGGAGGAAAAAGCAATCCCAAACTATGCCGTTATAAGAAATAGCAGATTGTGAGAATATTTCTGATTAAAAAGGGCGAATGTAATTTATGGTGAAATTTGGAAAAGGAGTTGTGTGGAATAATCCTCGAATCCCCTCGCTTCTATATCCAATAATAATGAAAATTTTATCAAATAAGAGTTGTAATATAGCAATTTCTTTGAAATATTTTAGAATAAAAAAGAGCAATTACAATGACAATCACGTTTATAGTACAAACCTACAAAGCAATTATTTTAATTATTTAGTTTTTTTTTGGCATAAAGTAATGATATTAGTTTTTAGAGAAAAAATCAAAAATACCACTATCACTTTATTTAAAAATAAATAAGTGAAAGAAAATAAAAGATCGACATTTGATAAGGGAGCCGAAAAGAGGTTTGGGCTTGTTTTACATAAGGGCCCGAGCCATGAACTTTTGGTTAAGGCTCAATTAGTCACATCTTTCGTTTCAACCCGCATTCGTAATTGGGTTTCATTTTGTTAGGATCGACTTTCTACCAAGTAGTCGTCTTCTTCCATCATCGGCTCTTCCCTGCGTCCGATCCAGAGCCTGAAACACCGAAGAAAAAACACCATTACAGGTTTTTTCTTTTTTACTTTTTATTTTCTTTAATTTTGTTTCCATGGCTGGATATTGTTCTTCTTAATTTGTGACATTTTATGAAGTTAATTTTGCGAATTGCAAAATAACTAATTATATAACAATATATTAAGAAAAAAATTCAGATCTTTGGGGTTTTGCAGAGATTTCCCAGTACGTTATCCTCTAATCTAATTCTTATCTTACTTGTTTTGATTAGTAGAAAATTTAAAACTCAGCCATTCAAATTTTTTTTTTTGGCTGTGATGGTTCTAATTGCAATAAATTCATTAAAAAAAAAAAACTACAAAATTATGATCGATAGTTACTCAGCTCACTGTATCTGAGGACTATCGCGCATTAGTAATTAAACGAAAAATTAAAATTTGTTTTCAGTTTTGGGTTTTGAATAATTGATTTGTAGCAACACATCCAAGGGGGAAAATGTAATTTTTTTTATTCTTTTTTATGATTGCTTGTAGTGGAATTTTGTTTCAGCGATATTAAATTGCTTGCGGGGAAAATTTAGGATTTCAGCTTAAACATTTGATTTAGCTGCGGAGAAACTCGGTAGAGGAAAGGAAAAGGAACTTTGAAATTTAACATCACAGGATAATATATACTGTTTTATGTAAAGTGTAGGATTAATACTCTGCCCCCCATTGTTTTCTCTTTTTGCTGCAGTTGAGAATTTTTAGCTTTAAATGGCGGGCAGAGCTCAAATTCAGACCAGCAACTCGGCTCTCATCGCCATGATTGCTGATGAGGTAGGGATGATGTAGTCTTCCGGATTTTGTGATTGAATCTGTTCTAGCCTTCTGGGATTTTATTCTTCGTGAGCATTAAAATTTAGTTGACAAGGAGAGGTACAAGTATAAAATTGACATTTGAAGAGCGATATTATGAGTTTGAGATCAAAGAGATATCATAGAGTTTGGTTTGAAAGTCAGTAACTTAATTTCATGTGAGAATTATTCACCGTACTCTGAGAAGTCATTTGTACTCTTTTAAGTTGCCTAGAATGGGAAGTGCGGAAATGCTGTCAGCAGCATTAGTTGATGTTATAGCAAACCACCATAAGATTGAACTTCCATATATTCATTCAAATGCTAAAAACAAATTGGTTCTCTTTTTTTTCCGTGTCTACTACTTTGTTTTGATGATTGCTAATTGTATAAAGCAATACTTTGATAGATTGGCTTAATCTTGTAGGATACTGTTACTGGGTTTTTGCTAGCCGGAGTGGGTAATGTTGACTTGCGGAGAAAGACAAACTATCTTATTGTTGATTCAAGTATGTTTTTAAGCTTCTTTCAACAATAGTTTTGTTCAAGTGGTACTTCTTGAGTTATCTATATGTTGCTATTTACTTTATTCTTCCTCCGGTACATATTTTGTAGGCAGGTACTGGGATCACAGGCTAAAATGTGGACATTTTTTTATTCACTGGATAAAATATTAGCGTTCCTCAGAAAATGTAGGGATTTTAAGTGTTTAGGAAACTCTTTAAACCATAAATCTTGAGTGAGTTATGCTGTTTATACATTGTGACATGGAGGGTTGGTTAAATCCTTCCATGCTAGCTTTTGGTGCCGACCTAGTGAAATATTTAGTGTGATAGACTCTGTATTGGGCTACTGGCTCTTCAGCAATGGCTGCGGCCAGCTTATAACCCCAAACCTATCGTCTCATCATACGATATCGAGCACACATTGCACGAGTTTAATTGTAAAAGTGGGCATTTGGCTCTTTCATTTTTTAGGGTATGGGTCTCTATCACGTTATAATGCATTCTTCTACCTTCTCCGGCAGAGCAAAACATAGACAGATATTCATATTCATCAAGTTGGCAGGTCCAAGTTGCTGAATATGACATCTCAGCTTTATAAAGAGTTAAAAGTAGATGGCTGGCTTTAATATCCTCGATTAACAGAGCTAAAAAAGAATACTGCAATTTATAGGTAACTACTAACTAATAAGGTGTAGGGTCCTGTTAAACTGGTCCTGGTATCATCGCTCTTTCCCCACTTCCTGAAGTTGATCTGACCAATTCCCTAGCCCTGATATTTAAGATCAAAAGTTTTATGTAGTAGGAGAAACCGGACAAATAGAGATTTTTGGAACAAAATTTGATTCACATATGATTACATTACTAATAATAGTACTTGTCTTTACTCAGAAACGACTGTGAAAGCAATTGAAGATGCATTCAAGGAGTTCACCACGAAGGAGGATATTGCTATTGTTATGATCAGTCAATATGTAAGTCCGTGTCACATACGTAAATTTATGCAATTTTTTATTACTGTTTCTTTCTTGGAGGCTAGATCCAAGTAGTTCCCCAATGCAACACTAAATTATAGCAACTTTATAATGTTTTTGGAACGCCTATTATTTCTTCATAACTAACTACCAGTTGTGAGAGACTATTCTGAAAGGCTAATTTGTATCTGTCAAAGCAGGTCGCGAACATGATAAGGTTCCTAGTTGACAGCTACAACAAACCGATCCCGGCCATTCTTGAAATCCCTTCCAAGGATCATCCTTATGACCCCTCTCATGATTCAGTTCTATCGCGAGTCAAGTACCTCTTCTCCACTGAATCCGTGGCATCTGGAAGACGTTGATGATACGCATGTTGTTCTCTTCATCGGATCCCAAACATCACCAAGCTTATAATATCAGCACATTCACTTGGCTTTAAGTCGCCCTTTGTATGCCGTTCCATTGACTGCCTTATCAAGTGATTTGATTTGTCTGCATATCTAAGATTCTTTTTGTGCCTATCTATAAATTATTTTGTGTCATTTTGGATTCTAGCTATCTTAAAAGAATAAAATTTGTCTCGTAAAGGACAAGTGCATCATTGAGCTAGTTGGTGTGATCCCTTTCATTCATTTTCTGGCTTTGTCGAGAATCTTACAGCCTTTATAAGCACATATCAATTTTCCTATTTCGGTATGTCTATGCAACCTGAGTTGGTGGGGTTTCAGATCTTATTTTTTATCTCAGAAGCACAAGATTATTGGAGTCCATCAAATGTAGCTATCTCAAAAAGTTGAAAGCAAATGAACGGATTAATAAGTTTTTTTTCTCTCTCTAATATTATATATTTCTTCATTCATACCCATGAGAATATGTCTAATAGTGTCTATAAATAATAATCATCATCTTCTTTAATTTTCCCCCCTCGGATTCAACAACTCTTGAGAAGATTTGAAAAATCATAAAAGGAAGATTAAAGTGTGCGTCACATGGGGAGTCTAGAATCCAGTGCAAGGACCACCAAAATGATTTTTTTTTTTTTTTGCTCGAAAGATTAGTATTTGTTTTTCTTTGTTATATCCACTCCATTTTGTTGACAATATTGTTAAATGGTAATCTCCATCTGATAAAAGACATACTTAGATGTTACAACAGAGGAAGAAAGTTCTTATACGTATCCAAATCATGTCCAACGTCCAAGGTTGATCATAGAGAAGTCTTTTAAGAAACATGATTTTTAAGATGTCTGGTCAACTCTATTATAATTTATAAACATTTTCCTACTTGTATATCTTTTGTTTTCTTTGCAAAAACCAAGAAAGATATTTGCTGTCCGCTATTTTTTTTCACCCTGTGGATAAGCACGAGTGAATCATCGTATGCCCAAGATACTAGTGGAAGAAGGCCAACTTGCAACAATTGACCTCTCCCAAGTTTCTGCTTTGCATATTTTCCAACTATAGTTGGTCCTGTTCCTAGGATTACAGTTAAGTAATAGTTTGTCCCTTTTATTTTTACCCGATGTCCATTTTAGGTCTAGTCAATAAAAGTCCATTTCGGATGATTTTATAAAATTATGTCGATATTTTCACATTTCTCGGATAACTTACGAGATTCATGTGACATCTAATGTAGATCTAGCTTTTTATTTATTTTCTCTCTTACAAAGGAAACATACACAGAGTATCACATTGAAACACGAGCAATTAAAAAAAACAAAAACAAAAAAAGGTACAAACTTTTGTTAGAACAGATCATCGCCCCGTTTGATTTATCCTGGTTGTGCTTGCTTTTTTTCTTCCTTTTCTGTATTGTCTAGATAAACAGTTACTCACAGGACCTAATTAGCACACTAACCAAGATAAGATATCACTGTCATGGAAGTTGGATTAGGAATTAATTTATAATTATTACCGGATAAGCTCAGAGGCAAATTAAAACAGAACAACCAGCCAATGGGCCACCACTTTTTCTTTTTCTCTTTTACCCTTTCTCTCTTTTCTTAATTATCCATTTTTCTTAATGATCAAGTCCCCTTTCCATAACTCTTTATATTAGAAATGACGATTCTTAAAGCATGTTTAGTTTACTAATTTGAGTTTTTAATTTGAGTTGAGATGTAATTTTATATGATAATTTTTTACTGTAATAAAAAAATTAAATGTGACTATATTTTAAAATTTTTTATTATAATAAAACTCAAATTTTAAACTTAAATTAATAAAATAAACAGAATTTTAATATATAAATAATAATTCTGGTGCTCTTTCTCTAGTGGGCAATCTTTGTCCAAAAGTTCTCGAATTAATTGTTTGTTTTCTTTCGGAAAAGGTCCAGGATGCCCTTTTAATTATATTTCCAAAATTTTGCTCTCCCAAAAAATGCCAATCTCTGATCTATTTCGCATTGCAGGAATAAAATCAATCTCCTGACAAGAACATTAAAGAAAAAATAATTTTTTTTTTTTAAAGACAAGTGGAACTTTAGCATTAAATAATTTTATGTAATTTCCCTATTTCTTTGATATAAGTGCCTTGAAAGAAGATTTTAAGATAGGTCCCACAGACAGCGTGGCCCACCAAAATGTGTGGGCCAAGTTTAGTATTTATCCACAATTGGTCAAAGGAAACGCCGCATTTCATGGGAAGCTATCCGAATGGGATTGGGAACCGTTGGGCCAGTTTTGTTGGAGAACCTTGTCTCTTCCCTATTCTCAGTCATTCCTATCAAACACATGACCGGCCAACTCGAAAGCTGCTTTTGCTTTCTTTGCAAATTGAAATAGCGGCAGAGTCTGGAATTTTGTTCAGTGGACCCTGATTAAACTAAAACTTTAATGTAGTAATTTTTTACCTTTGTTTATTTATTTTCTTTCTTTTATGCTATATGAATTAAGCTTCTAATAATGTTAGTTTTTTCTTTAGAATTAATGGAGTAAAATTTAATATTTGAAGTCTAAAAACTTGTATATTTATATTATAGTACAGTTGATTTCTTTAAAAAAACTATGCAGAAATGACAATTAACAAAATTTGGATCAATAAATACTAAATTTTTATAATTTATCTTTTCTTTCAATTTTTTTTTATTAATACATGTTCTTGCTAAAATATATATATATACTTAGATAGTTGTGTGCCCTATTATTTGTTTACTTTGGTTTTAAATTTGAAATAATGGGTACAAGTAATAATAATAATAATAATAATAATAATAAGATATAATGATAAGCAAAACTAATCGTATCTTACATCTATAAAAGATCCGTTCTTGGCTCTATTGTTCACTTATTGGTCGTTCAAAACGACTCAAAATTTGTTTCTTATTTTCTTTTATTTTCAACATTTAAAATAAAGAAAAGTACATGATTTATCATGGCCTATTATTTTTATTTGTGTCATTTTAAATTTCTAATTTTTTCCATAAATTTTTTTCAATTACTTTATTTTTAACTTTGTCATATTATAATTTAGAATGTTTCATGTGTTTTTTTTATTAAATTTACCCTTTTGACTTAAACTATCATTAATATATAGTACTCTTATTTGGGGGATTCAAACTCTATACCTTCAAATGGAATCAGGTGTGTAATTTCCTTTATGATACTCTCGCTACCATTTAATCTAATACTCTTTTGAATCTCTAAGTTAAATGTTTCTTTTATTTATTCACATGCATATTGTTGTTCGTATTCTATGTTATAAAAACTATTATTATAACTCAATACGTGCATTCGCACGTACCAAAATAAGTGATAATAAATATTTTAAACATGTTAATGGAGTGCGCGATTCCTAATTATGGCCAAAATTATATGTTTACGTTCTCAAAGCTACGTAGAATAAAATTTCAATTCCCATGCACACGATCCTAATTTTTTTAAGGTTAAAAAGATTATGTCCAAAATTACAAACGCATGATCTTAACTTATCCCATCCATTTTTTATTTAAAAAAAAAAATTATCTCATCTACAAGCAACTGTCTCTAACAGTACCTTTCTTTATTTTTAGTTGCAATACCTTTTTCGGTGGAATACAAATTATTATGACATTTTACTTCTTTCACAACGTTGCTTGCCTTTAAATACACGACTCTTAACACAACGTGATAATATAAGATCAATGACTTTGGTCACATTTTTAACAGTACCAAAACTTTAATCAAACTTGAAAATATATGCCAATTATCGGATTAACTCCTAGGCCATAACGAAAACCGGATTTACAGTCAAAGTGTCTTGGCATAATTATTTACTTGCATTATCCTAAATAAAAATTCAGGGAAAATATAACTGAAATCAGGAAACTGAAAAATAAGCAACGAACCAGGAAATATTAAAAAAATAGCAAAACGGGAAACTATCCGTTTCTTGACCGAACGATTATTACAAAGTTGACTTCCCCATTCCAATTTATTACAAAAATAGAAGCTTTCCTAAAACGGTAGAATTATAAATTTAATTCAAAATATCAAATTTTAAAAACCCATACGTCACTTCCTTCCAAAATGTGTATCTCTAGATTAAAAATCCAATTTTTTTTTAACGCCGTGAAAAATTGAAGATTCTTCCTCGTAGTCTGCACCAATGTTACTATTTTTAATACATTCCCTTTAATATGGTAACTCCCAGCCTCCTAGGACATGATCAAAACCGGAAAAATAGTAATTTGAATAAAACATTTTACGTGCTTGGAAATTGACAAGTGGCAAATATCCAAAGCATTACTCATTTTTCTTGCCCTTTTTTTTTGGGGTAAAACATACGCAAAAATAAAAAAGTATTACTCTTATGTGGACACCAAGCAGGTAAGACTTTCCGCGGCTAATTGGATAATTCATGTCATTAGCCAAAAAAAAAAAAAAAGGGATAATTCTTGTTGCCCTTTTTGGTCGTAAAGTGTGGACCCCATCAACGAACCAACCAAATTTTAATTCCCAAAAATCTATTTAATCCACTTCGGATTGAGAAAAAACACACAAACTACACAATAGGAGAGAGAAAGAAAGAGAGAGAAAATGGATAGGGTGTTCTCAGTGGAGGAAATATCCGACCTGTTCTGGTCGCCGCCGCCGTCGACGTCGAAAGCAAACGACGAGTCGTCGAAGATGAATCGCAGCTCATCGGAATGGGCCTTTCAGAAGTTTCTCCAGGAGGCCTCTGTCTCCGAGGCCTCTCCTAGCCGACCGCCGCCGCCGCCGTCTTCTTCTGCGTCCGCCGGCGACGAAAACGATGTCGTGGAGATCAAGGTCAAGGAAAATTCAGAACTTCTGAGGAATCCGGCCTCCTTCAGCGGCCATGCCAATACTCCCGTCGACTCCGAGGATTACCAGGCCTTCCTCAAGAGCAAGCTCAATCTCGCATGCGCCGCTGTCGCTATGTCCCGAGTAAGTTTTCCTTTTTCCTTATCTTTTATTTCTTCATCTTAACGGTTTTCCAGTTTGTAGTATTTTTTGTCTCACGAAAAGTTCATTTTTTTTCTTAATTAGGTTTCAACGACAGGGAAATTTTACATCTAAAATATTTTTCTTCGACACTTTCAAGCATTACTTTTCTTAGTATCCAAACAGAGCATCAGGGTCCGTAGTTTCTATTTATTATTATTATTATTATTATTGTTATTATTATTGTTATTTTTTGCTAAGCAAGTCAGTTTTTTTTTTTTTAAACATAAATTCTCTCTCTGCGTTCAGTCTATTTTCTGTCTGTGTGCGTTTGAAATGGTGATAAAACTTGTTTGAATGTGATACGATCCATTCTGTATATATATATATATATATATATATATATATTGAAAAAAAAAAAACTTTTATCAACCTGTAAAATGTAATTGTATTGAGTCAATGGTAAAAGGAAAGGTGACACAACTTTGGTTGTGGACTTGTGGGCCTTGTACATTATTAGCAAAAGCTACTTTTGCCATAAAGGGTAATATTCTTGAAGCAAAAGGAGTATAACATAACTAGATGGAACATCACCAAGAATGACTGTAAATTATTGTAACTTCTCATATCCGGATTAACACTTTTCTAGCTATTTAAGAAAGAGTAATGTGTAGATGACATTTGGGTTTTAGTCACTCTGCCTATCTTTTTCTATAACTTTGCTTGAAATAAATCTTTGACGATCGTACTTTATTATTTTTTGTTCCTTTTCTTCTTTGTTAATAGGGATGTTTTGGCAAAATCCAAGATTCTGCTGCTTCGGCTGATTCTGGATCTCAGGCTTCCAACAGTTCACAATTGGGGACTCAATCTCCTTCTAAAGGTATGTCATGTGTGTCACTGTCAGCCTATTTACTAGATTTATAATGCTCATGCATTAATTGTATGTGTGCATCAGTGCATGGATAGATATTCAACATCATCCCAAAAGCTTAAGCTATTAGGAGGTTGGCCAACAATAGTTTTATACTTTAACACTCCCCCTCACGTGTGGGTTGGACAATGGGCAATCGTGTGGGTAAATTAATTGGAAAGCCCAGCACGTGAATATTTAAGCCCGAGATATATTAAAAACCCAACGCATGACAATTTTTAAATGGGGATAAATAGTGTAATTATGGGAGTTTGAACTCAGGACCTCCCGCTCTGATACCATGTTAGTTTACCAACCCATCCCAAAAGTTTAAGCTATTAGGAGGTAAACCAACAATAGTTTTATTCTTTAACAGGATGGGACCAAGTCTATGTCGTAAGGAATTGCATCAACATGAGTTTCCACACGGGCAGAACCAAAAAAAAAAGTCAGGGAGGGTGAGGCGTCTACCATAATTATTGAAAAAAATGGTCTGAGCTTATTATGACGTGAGGGAAACATAGAATTTCAGTGAGGCGAACTATAGATATCAAAATTCTAGCTGAGGCGGCTGCCTACCCTCAGCTTTACGTGGCACCGCCCCTGTTTCCCTAGGCACAGATTAGTGACCACTCAGTTTTTGATTTGATGATGCACTGGACAATTGTATTAGAATATCATTTTTTTTTCTTTTATCATTACCTATGTAGGAGCTGGGTATGATTTATCCGGGTCCCAAGACAAGGATGCTAATGGAACGCATGGTATTCCAGCCTTGCCCATCCATAAGAAATCTGTGGTTCCATTAAAGCAATCAACTAGTGGATCATCGAGAGAACTGTCTGAGGATGAGGAAGCTGAAGGAGAAACTGAAACGACCGAGAATATGGGCCCTGCTGACGCGAAACGTGTCAGACGGTAACTTCTATATCTGCAATTGTGATTGTTGTATCTTAACTTTTGGAGCTTGTCGATGCTGGATGTTGCTATCATGCTATTTCTTTGAGCCGTCATTTATGCTGTGTAATGTTATTCCAATGAAAATGTGCCTCAGATATCGTATTCCAAATACAATGGTTGAAATATGTCTAGCGAGTAATAATTTCTTTAAGACTAGGTAATAACTACCGAACAAGATAGTGGAAGGCCAACAATTTCCCAATAATAAAATTACAGCATATAAATAGATGACTATATTCTTGGAAACTACCCATCCAGCCCATGCATACTTCTAGTGTCAATCACAGTCAGAAAATCAATTGCCAAAACCGGGTGATTACGATACAAGGAGAGAAACAAGATACGAAGGCATATGGAATCAGGAAAGTTATGAATTTGAACAGTCTTCATGCATGGCTCATATATATTTATGTTGCAGAGATTAGTTAAATCAATCGTCTTTTTTTCTTTTTTCCCTCTTTTGGCATCACATAATTTGATTTCATTGCATCCCATTAATTCATTTGGTCTTTTGCAGAATGCTTTCCAACAGGGAGTCAGCTAGACGCTCGAGAAGAAGAAAGCAGGCCCATTTGACAGAACTTGAGACTCAGGTTCTTTCCATTCTCCCTTCTTGTTGCCCTCTAATGTTGCCGCATTGCTGCTTCTTTAATGATGTACTTTAAGCTGCTACTTTTTACAGGTTGCTCAGTTAAGAGTTGAAAACTCTTCTTTAGTAAACCGCCTAACTGATGTAAGCCAAAAGTACAATGAAGCGGCTGTTGACAACAGAGTTTTAAAAGCTGATGTTGAAACACTGAGAGCAAAGGTAAGCTATATATATATTGTCTATGGTCTAGAATTTTAGTGCCTGGTACGGCTTATTTAGGAGGCATTTTCATTTGTTAATAGGTTACTATTGTTTCCCCACACTAATAGACGTATATGAACATAAAGATTTGATATATTTTGATACATTTGCAGATCAAGATGGCGGAGGAGATGGTCAAAAGAATGACTGGATTGAACCACATGTTCAATCCAATGTCGGAGATATCCTCAATCAGCATGCCATCGTTCGACGGAAGCCCTTCTGACACCTCGACGGATGCTGCTGTGCCAGTCCAAGATGAGCCGAATCATCACTTTTATCAATCTAGTAAGCCTAACCCCGCACCTCCTCATGAAAAGAAAGCTAGCAATGATACAGCAGAAATCCCTTCGGTTGAAATTGTGCAACCAAACTCAACAGGAGGGAACAAAATGGGAAGAACAGGTTCGATGCAGCGAGTGGCTAGCTTGGAACATCTGCAGAAACGGTTTCGCAGTGGAGGAAATGCTTGCGCGCCAGAGCAGTAGTAACAGCTTGGAAAGGGCTTTTGGATTGCTGCATCTGGGGCAATACTGATGTATAGATTATCATTATTATGTAAAAAGGGAAAATTCTTCTATTCTTCAGCTTAAGACATTGTGGATTAATTTATTAGTTATTCTGGTACTTCTGATGGACAATTTGATTCATGGAAGTCATTGATATTTCAAAAAGAAACCATATACGTATAACAGGTAGCCATTTTCATTTATTAGTGAAAATATATAAATATAGATATAAATACGGGTGACGGTGAAAATTTGCTAACAAATAATTAATAAATTTTGAGATAAATTAATACGATTCACAATGATATAAGTACAGAATAATGAAGTTAAATGCATTAAAAATAAGAACACATGAAGATTTATAGTGGTTCACTCTTGATTTGAGAGCTACATCCACTTTGGGGAGGAGGAGAAAATTTCACTAATTTGAGAAGATATTACACGTTTTTTTCTCAGTGTGAGACTTAAGGGAATTTTTTGTTCATAATCTCCTATTTATAACTTAGGTCACCACCCATAAACCTTCCTTATTTAAATTTGAGATATTTTTCTTTATCTTTTAAGATAGTTTTAAAAAATAGAGATTACAATCAATTAGGTCTCGTTCAGTTCACAGATTTGAGTTTTCAATTCGAGTTGATATGTGATTTTATGTGAGACTTTTTTACTGTAACAGAAACAAAATTAGATGTAACTTTTTGTGAGAACTTTTAACTGTAGTAAAATTGAAATTAAAAACTCAAATTTATGAAATGGGCGATGACTATTTTAACCCTAAACTCAAGTTAAAACTCAAGTTTAAACTCAAATTTTATAAAAGAATATGAACTTAAATTTAAATTTTTTTAAAATTTCGGTACAAATGAACAAGCCTCCAGAGATTTTGGAGAAGAAAAGAAGAGTATTAACTTTGTCTGGACATAAATTAGAAAAACTACTTTATAATCGTTTTAACTTTTAGAAAACCAAATGGAGGAAAATTATTGTACAACATAGGATACAAAATAACTATGTTCTACCAAGCATTATGAAAAAAAAAAAACTTTTTTTTTATTTTCTTCACTTGGATTTTTGCATTCTTCTTCCTTTTCACTTTCAATCACTCTTACCAAATATGGTGTTCATTTATTTATTCGGCAGCACTGATCCTTCCCATTGTTGGTGATTTCTTGTTATTATTCTTTTTCACCACGTCAAGTGAAAGAAAGAAGTGGTTTTCCTTTAAAAAAAAAAAGAAAAAAAAAGGAAAGAAACAAGTAGATTAAAAAAAGAGAAAAAAAAAAAGAAAGAAGGAAGGAAGGAAATAAAGGAGCGGATCAAAATTATAGGTTAAGAGCATGTTTAGTTTATGGATTAGAACTATTTTTGATTTATGTGTATTTTTTATGAGAAAAAATACTGTAGCGAATTATGAACCATGATTCGAATCAGAGAACGAATCCTTTAACCAAACGGGCTCTAATAGTTTATGATGCGTGAAAAGAAAAAGCGTTAGTAGATGTAGTAATAAAAATTTTTAGCCGGAAAATATTTAGAAATGATAAATTTTATTCTTTCTTTTTTTGTGCATATATATAATAAAGTTCCTTTGAACCTTAACTAATGGATGTCATTTACCTTTGGCCTTCGTTAACTGAGATCTCGTTCATTTAACCGATTCGAGTTTTCAATTTTAAGTTTCTACAGTAAAAAGTTCTCAGAAAATATCACATCTAACTTTTTCTGCTACAGTGAAAAGCTCTCAGAAAATGTCACATCTCAACTCGAATCCGCGAAGTGAACGAGACCTGAATTTTTCAAATCCAATTTATATTGTATTTAATTGATGTATTCGTATTATAATTTAAATTATAATTTATAATTTATAATTTATTATAATATTTTTTTTTTATAAAAAACACATATAAATTAAAAATAATTTTTTTTTTCTCCTTTAACTATAGACTACTAGTTTTTTAACATTCCCTATTATTATTCAAAAAAAAAAAAGTTTCTTAACATTATTATGTGTTAACACACAAAAATCTTGTTAAATACTTTCCACGTGCGCTAAAAACAAAAGAAACTACCACATTGATGGTCAAACGCGAAGAGGGCCCACCATCATCCCTCAACTCCAGTGTTATCTAATCTTCCACGCACGAAATCCGACCAATTTCTGAAAACCCTAAAACACCAACCAAAAAAAAAGAACCAATCTTTGCAGAACGGCCATGGAGATCTCCTCAATAACTTTATCAGTCCCGAAACCTCCTTCTCTCCCTCTGTCATCGTCTCGCTCCAGGTTTGTCGCCGACAATGCCGCTAGCGCCGCTTTCTTGAACAGGAATAAGGCGAACACGGGGGCTCTGGTTTTGGGTCGAAGAAGGAGCGGATTCAGAGCTGAGCCGGCCAGGAAAGGCCTCACTTGCAACGCTTTGTTCGGTCTCGGCGTGCCGGAGCTCGTCGTCATCGCCGGAGTCGCCGCTTTGGTTTTCGGGCCCAAGAAGTTGCCGGAAGTTGGCCGGAGTATCGGGAAGACCGTCAAGAGCTTCCAACAGGTTAATTCACTTTCTCGATCTGTTTGGTTTCCGAGAAAATCGTCTGCTGATTTTGTGTATGTTGCTTAATTTTTGTCTTTGAGTGGTGCAAAGTAGCTATCTTGAACTTGACACTTTCTGTAAAAATTGGTACTTTTTTTCCGAGAAATAATTAGAATGTAAGTAAAAGGAAAGAGGCAAAGATAGGAACTCATTGAAGATTTTTACTTGAAAATGTATTTTTTAGCTGTATAATTTGGTCAATTAGGTGGAAATTGTGGAAATAAAATGAGGAAAAAATAGGATTTTGGTATGATGGATCAATAAGTGGAGCGATTCTGACTATTGATTAACCTGACTGGTTTTTGTTTTCTTAGCAAGAATAAGAAGTAAAAGGTAAAGTAGCCTTTGAAGTTTGATCTATACTTGGTCATTTCAGATATACCTCTACTTTATTTCCCACTTCTTCTGATGAATCAGTTTCCTTTAAGGTATCATATGGAGAATACGATGATGCAAACCTTCTTGTAATTTAATTTCAATTGGGCAAAGAGAGAGCTAGTGGCGGAAGTACTCATGCACTAAAACATGTTGGAAAGATATGAGATTGAAGGCTGTTATTTTCAACTTACCAAAGAGAGAAGCTATAGCTTTAAAATTCAGGGTTCGTTGAGGTTGAAGTTGATACTATAGAAGAAATTTATACTGGGATTAGTGTGTCCCACTACTTGGGCTCTTCTAGATTTGGTAGAACTTTAAGTTGGTGAAGTGGATGATTTACATTAAGGTGATGTATGCAGAATACGTGCTTGGAAAACTCACTCAATATATGACAAGAGAACATATTTGGCTCATTTGATTGCTTGTTGGCAAGTGGCAACTACTTGAGAAGCAACAACAAATCATTATTATATCTTCTATGGACTTCCTTCCATAAAACATGGTGAAGTCATCAACTTCCATATAGTGGCCAAGGCACCATTTTGACAAAAATTCATCTTATCTAATTGTGCACTATCAACCACTGAGATGAAGAATAAAAAACATATGTAGATGATTATACAATGTTCTTGCTTTTTGTCAACTGAATAAAAAGCAATGGTGCTCTTTTAACTATTTTCTACACCATTTGATGCTGGCTTGGCTTCTTTTCCTTCTCCTTACGAGAATAGTTTAATTGCCTGTAAATTTTTCAGGCCGCAAAGGAGTTTGAAACTGAGCTTAAGGCACCGCAGACGACGGCAGAAACCCTTGTGGACAAACCGGCGGCAACAATTGAAGAGGAGAAACAAGACGTTACGGTTCCAAGCTCAAAAGAAAGTGTATGAGATTGTTCTGTCATAAATCTATAGTATGAGATTGTACCACTAGTAACGTCACCTAATGCCTTATTTCATTTTTACAGACTAGTCAATAAAACCTTCTTGGTCTATATTTATGCCGGCTTCTCTTTGCAAAGTGATTTGAATGATAAAACAATGAGTAAATTTTTCATCCGAGAATTCAAATAAATAAAGTGAACTATAAGGATGGACCATTGATATATCTTATATGCTCAATCACAAACACGTTAAAAAAGAGAGAAAAAAAATTTCTTGTTTCGAGAAAATGAAAAAAGAATTCCACCTTTTTCATTGAGCAGAGTTAGTTATTAGGAGAATTATATGGTAGGGAATTAAATACCTTCACTAAGATACAGTTGTTAACAGTCTAATTTTTATTTTGTTTTGTTAAATTATCATACTTTTTTGAATCTTTTTATTTGTAAAATGACTGTGGAAATGATAAGGAACGATAACTTTTTAAAAGTCAGTAAAATTAAAGAAGTCATTTTTGTTAATTACTTTGTATGATAATCCCCCTAGCAAATTTCTCTTAAAGGGAAGTAGTTCTTAAAACCCAACGCAAACACAGACTAGGGAGGGCTGAGGATCATGCAAACGCATAAAAGATTGCAAGGGAAACCATTAAGGTCTCTTTCACTTATTTTAATTCGAACTGAGATAGCGACATTTTTTGAGAGTTTTTTATTGTAGTAAAAAAAATTAGATGTGATATTTTTTAAAAATTTTTTACTGTAAAAATTTAAAACTGAAAACTCGAATCGGTGAAATGAACAAATTAAAAAAAGAAAAAAAGAAAAAAGGTGTCTTTACGAGTTGGAAACCAGCTAGACGGGCTTAGTCAGCTGAGCGGGGCCTTACTTATTTTGAACTTTTTGAGTTGGGTTCCAGTTGGACTTTGGACTGCCAATATGAAAGCCATGTTCTCCCGTTGAAACCTGTAAACTTGTTGAGTCAGGCCTGACTAGTTTCTTAAATCAGCTTATGCGCCTCTATCCTTCCCCTCAGTTTTGTATGTTTAAGAAGTTTATTTATCAATCGAGCAACAGCAGAGTAGAAATTGCACCAGAAAAAAAAAAAAGATTAGAAGTTTTCAATTCCAAAAGCATATTCAAGCAGCGTCCAAAGATTGATTGCCAACTAAAAATTATTACATGGACCTCATACTATAAAATAAATAAGTTTATGTTACATTTAAGAAAGTCTTTACACCCTCAAAAAAAAAAAAAAAATTTTACATCATTGCTTGGAATATTTCTCTCTTTTGAGGTGTAGGCTCCAAATGCTCCTTTTTCTTTTTGTATTGATCATGAGTATTTTTTCTTTCAATTTTTATTTTCTAAGGACTAAAGTTCATGGGTATAGTTAGTAGCTATTTATTTATTGAATGCAAAGTGAGTAATTGAATGGGAGAGGAAAAGAAAATGGTAGAAAATTAAAGAAAAAGAAAAATTATTGGTATGTGTAATTTTCTTGCACCGAACATAACTCCCCATTTTCCGGCTAGAAACTAAAATCAGACAACCTTTAGTTGTCCAAAATGAGAGAAAAGATAAATGGAGACAAAACAAACAATTGATCAGGGTCGTATGCACAATCCACTACTGATTAACGGGTGGTGGGCCCTTTTTTCCTTTTATTTTTTATTTAAATAAAGACAGTGGACCCATTTATATTTAATTATTAGTGAGTTTTAAAAAAATAAACTATTAAAAAAATTTTAGCCATTAAATTTATATAAAAATTATTTATCTCTCTATTTTTTTAATTTAATATAATTTTAATTAAATTTAACGATCGAAAATTGACCTTATTAATAAATAAGTCTTATAAGAGAAACACTTTGAATATTATAGTACATTATGTTACTATAGCGTCCAAACTAAATTGACTCTCATGATCTTTCCGTGTAAACAATCACCACTAGATATAAAGCCTCGTCTTAGGTGGAATGATGATTATCAAAATCATCCCTCTTTCTAATTTTAGTACAACAGGCAAGGATATTTTTATTATTGGTAGGCATTGTTAGCCAAAGTTGGTGAAAGTATAGTAAATAAATAAATAAGGAGACGAACATAGAAGAACAAACAACAAAAGTACACACACATAAGAAACAAAAAGAAAGAATAACAATTGAATACATTTTTTTTTTTTTTTTTTTTTGTTATCTCCTCACACATCCGCCTTTGCGGAATTCTTTAACTTAAAACTTTGGCAACAAATGCTATCCGTGCATTTTGTAAGCAAAAAAAAGTTAACGCCCTTGAATTAGTTGGATCCTACTTGATCTAACTATTAGAAAACATTGGTCCCGTTTACTTCGCTGATTCAAGTTTAGAATTCGAGTTGAGATGTGACTTTATGTGAGAGTTTTTTACTGTAGCAAAAAAGTTAGATGTGATTGTTTGTGAGAGCTTTTTACTGTAGAAAAACTCGAATTCTAAACTCGAATCAGCGAAGTGAACGGGGCATAACTATTAGCTAAATTCAACTATCTATTGGTCATCTCCAGTAGCCAACTAAATCATACAAAATAAAATAAAAAAAAAAACCTTGCGATTCTATTCTTTTTTTCTTTTTCTATTTCTATGTGTTGTTTGAGAGTGTTAATGTTAGGAGAATTGTTTTAGCAGGATCATCATAGCAACTGTTGTGGCGGTTGGGTTAACATGTTAATAATATGCTTTATAATTATAAATAGTTATGTATGGTAATTTCACAATAAAAGTTTATTGTTAGTCTGTTACCTTAAAAAAATGAAAAAAAAATTATAATAATTCGTTTAGTTCGTCGATTTGAATTGAGACATAAAATATTTTATTGTAATAAAAAAATTAAATATGATTATTTTTAAGAGTTTTTACTGTAATAAAACTTAAATTTTGAATTTGAATAGATCAAACCCGTTCAGTTCGCTAATTTAAGTTTTTAATTCGAGTTAAGATGTGATGTTGTGTGACAAATTTTTACTGTAATAAAAAAATTAAATGTGATTATTTTTAAAAATATTTTACTATAATAAAATTTAAATTTTAAATTCGAATAACGGAAAATGAACGGATGTAAATCACGCCATATGAATAGCGCGTAAGAAAAGTAAAACCGGTGGCAGAATTCTAATGTATATATATTTTTTAAAAGAGAATGGAAAATCAGAACTTTCCCATTCCCCGTTGTCTTTTAAGCAGGGCAGAGACACCACTACTCTCGCAAGTCAGAGTTTCAGACACAGAAAAAAGCAAACCAAAAAAAAAAAGAAAAAGGAGAGAGAATTCAGCTACTGAAAAAGGAAAGCCAGAAAAGCAGGCATTCTCATACAGTTATACTTCTCTCAAACTCTCACAAAGAATCATCCTACTTTTTATTTTTTATTTTTTTAAAACTCTCTCGCCCATACTATTACTGAGAAACGAAACGAGACGAGACGAGTAAGAGTCTCGGAATCCCCACTTCCATTTTCGGGTCATCGGGCTCCGGATCTGCCACCCATTTCCCCAACACCTTTCTCTTCTCGTACTCCGAGAACTTCCCGAAGCAAAAAGGAAAAAGAAAAAAAAAAGAAAAGAACCCATTTCTCAAACATATATAGAAACAATTGACACTGCTCTTAACTGCGTGTAAGTGAAACTTGGTGAATTTTCGGATCGAGAAAGCATGGCGGGAAATCCGCCGGAGAGCAGTCTAGGCGACGATTTCTTCGAGCAGATCCTGGCGGTGCCGCAGTCCTACAACGGCGGCGGCGGCGGTTCAGGCGAGGTAGGGTCCATGCCGATGGTCCCACAGCTGGGCTCCGGTGGGTCCACCTCCGTCGTGTGCTGCGGCGGCGGCGGAGGAGGGTACAGAGGGGTGGGAATGGGGATGGGTATGCCTCTGGGGCTGAATTTGGAGCAGCAAGGGTTTATCAGGCATGACAGGTTCAGAGATGACCTTGAACCACCACCGGACAATAATAACACCACCAACACTAATGTTGTAAGTCGTTTTGGTTTTTCTCTTTGATTTGAGGTTGGTTCTTTCGTATTCAGGGTAGTACTGTCGTTTTTCCTCTTGTTATGAGAGTGAATTTTGTCGTTTGATAGATATATTGATGCATGTTGGATTTGCTCTCCATATTCTCATGAAATTTTCCATGTTGCTTTGCCGGAAAGCGCTAGAGGTAGAGAGAGAGAGAGAGAGAGAGCCAAAAACAAAAAAGAAAGAAAAAAGAGAGAAAAGAATTCGCATCATGTCAGCTTTTAGTGAGAAGCAATTCGAAACCCCAAAATTCCTCTCTTTTTCTCATTTGTTTTTGAGGAACTTGGAATGGAATCTCCGTTTTGTTTTTTTAATTTATTTTAAATTTTCTGTCTCTTCCCGGGTGGGTAAGTAAAATATTGAGTTCTTGAAAGCTTTCAACTTGGTAGCTGTTGGCTAAGAAGGGCATGTCCGTAAAATGTGATGCAATATGAAGGGTAATTTGGTCTTTTTGTTTTTTTTTCAGGAGAGAGATTCGTTGCAGATGGGAAATTTGTTCCCTGCGTTTGGACATTTGCAAAACCAGTCACTCCGGCTACCGCCTCCGCAACTTCATCAGGTCAGCCTAATTTTTGATGTTGACAAATTTGCCCTCAAGTTCTACTATCAAGGATCAAAACAAACTTTTTAATGCGTAATTATGTTGCTAATTATCTTTTCATTTACGTGGAATGATCCAAAAGAATTATCCTTTTCAATAAAGTTGCACGCTTTCTCTCGTCTTCGTCTTTGTGTTTGTTTTTCTTTTTCGTGGAACTAAAAAAAAAAAAAATCCCCTTTATAGAAGTATTGATGCAGTAGAAAATTTTGAAAAAGCAACAAATTATTGATGTTTAGAAAAAGGTTCATCTTTTCATTTGACCATTGTTAATTTTTTAAAATGACTATTATTCGTCTCTGTGCATGTCTATTTGTTTATTAAGCGTCTAAAAGCAAATAAAAAAGAAGAAGAAAAAGTGAGACAAGAAAAGTGGTCTTAAATTATTAAAAAAAAGAGAGAGAATTTATTTTTAAAGTGCATGAGTCTTTATTTTTATTATTTATTTTTAATAAATATTTTTTATTAGTGTAATAATTTAATTAAAAAAGTTATAAATTAAAAATAAATAATAAAAATTTTAATTTATGTATTTTTAAAAAGTATGTCAAGATTAATTTAAAGGGGCGCAATTACAATTTGATAATTTGTTAAATATTATTCAAGAGCTTCGTTTTCATTTTAAAAAAAAAAGAAAAGAAAAAGAGCAGCTGGTTTCACTTTCGCACGCGCTTAGTGGGGCTCGTGGAAAGCGTTTCTCTTGAAATTGAAGGCTTTCCGTACACGTGCGAGCTCTCAAAAGTCGAAACGTGCAAGTCTTTAGGGACCATTTGGTCCTTTTCAGTTTCCTTTATTATGGTGATCTTTGTCAAGTTTAATTTAAATCGTGTCACCACGCGCTCTACTTCGTCACAGGCGCGTGTTTTGCACGTGCTTTGCTTGAGGCCTTTTGGATTAAAATTCATTTGGCTTGGATAAAATTTGACTTGGTCATAATGAGCGTATATATATGTCACCACCATTGAGCGGATTTTCCTTTTGGTTGACGCAGATTTGTTTTATTTATTTATTAATTAATTTTTGGGTTCATATAATAATTGCTTGATTAATTTTTCCAACTTCATCTGATTACTCAAAGAAGTTTAAACTTATTGCTAAATTGGTTGGAGTGCTGAGGCCAATTTGTTTCCAACATTGGTTTTTTCTTTTTGTGGTTGGTATTTCAATTAATGAGGATCTTTCCTTGTCTGTAATGATGCTCGTCTTGACTGGTTGTTTTCCTAAATTTAGTTTATCATCTCATAACACGCTAAAAGATGCTGGGATATCACGCAACTGAATGTCAAGGTTTAGTTTTCGTGCCGTAAGCTGGCGCAAAATGTGTTGTTTGCCTTTGTTTCTTGGTTGCAAGATTAATGTGATAGGGCTTCTTTTGTGCTAGGAAAAAAGTAGGAGAGAGATGCTAAATGACCCATTAGACGGTCTTCCACCACCAAGGTCTGTCGGGATTACTTAGTGAATGTCCAAACTGAATTTTAGCACTGAAATGACTTTGAGTCATAATTGGACAAAATGGTAGGTTGGGAATAAAGTACTTTAATACCTCATCTTTATCGTGATCCTTTAGCGAAGCGATTGGTTTTTGTGCTTTCCCTTGTCTGGATCTCAGTTTTGTGGCCACAGCTTCCATGAATCTGATAGATGCTAGGTTCCAAGGGAGACCAGTGTTTTCCTAATAGGATTTAGACGTTTATTAAAACGACTTTCTATTGGGTGGTCAGACTATATTGCATCATCTCTTGTTAGCCTCAAAATATTATCAACTTTACACGCAGGGTCAAAAGTCTAATATATAAAACTCAACCTTTCTATCATTGGGTTCAGTTCCTTTAACCATTTTTTAATTGCCTTCTACATTTGAAATGGATTGCTGAAATCATTTGTTGTATAATATTTGTATTTGAGTAATTTGTTTTGTTTTTTTTTAATTGTTTTCTTATAGTTTATTGCGTTCTGTGCATGAATTGACATCGTTCGCTTAATTCTGAAGCAGCCGTTTCATGTTCAACCCCCAGCTGCACCGGTTGCTGCTTTACCTCAACCACAAGCTATTCGCCCGAGGGTGCGAGCAAGACGAGGGCAGGCAACGGACCCCCACAGTATTGCTGAGCGGGTAAATTAGATTCTTATTTCTATTCTAATAGAATTTATAAGATTGATAAAAACTTTTTATTGTTATGGAAAAAATATGGCATTTTATTGATCACGCAAATTCAGAGAAATGCAACAATATTACCAGGGGAGATGTTATTTCATTTTCCTGCAATAGATTTGGAAACTTTACAGCAGTGACATGCATATATTCTAAAGTTAATCTATTTGCTGAGAAGATTTTTTTTCCCCTTGTCCTGTACCTGCAATAATTATAATAGAATTTCAAAATAAAATACTTGAATGCTTTTCATTCTTCCATTATTGTTTGTGCTTTTATAACAGTGTTTCTTTGTTTCTTATGGTTTCAGTTACGTCGGGAAAGAATCGCAGAAAGAATGAAGGCTTTGCAGGAACTGGTTCCCAGCTGTAACAAGGTTTGTGTCTTTAAAGTTTTTTTGGTTGTCAATTCCATCGTCTGTTATCGTTGAATATTCAGTGTTTTGAATTGTAATTATTAATGTTGGCATTATGTTTTGCTGAAATATTGTGCAGACAGATAGGGCTGCTATGCTTGATGAAATTGTAGATTATGTGAAGTTTCTAAGGCTACAAGTAAAGGTACGAATGCCGAACATCCAAATAGTTGTATGATCTAGAAAAGATTCGTTGTGCTTCCCACGCTATCAGATTTCTTCTCAGATAAGTTAAGCTCGAAACTGTCCGAAGGATCTCTATATTCAAAACTGCTGTTATTTTGATGTGCTCTCTCTGAAAAAGTCGTATTTTTTGCAAAAATGTGATGGATTTATTAGCATCATATTATTAAAAAAAGAAAAAAGAAAAAAAAAAAACTTGCTCCAAATGCCTACCAGTTGCGTGGTAATTTTTCTTGCAAACTCTGTTGTAGAATGTCATTATTATGGGGAGGGTCCCAGCCATGTTGAATTTCCAATACACCATCTAAAGCTTTATTTTATTCGTAGTAGTTATGATGTTGAACTCGAAATGACTTTGTCTAGGAATCTCCAATAAACAATGGAGTAATGATTGAATATGAGAACCATTAACTGTATACTTCAACAAATCGCTTTGTTATTGGTTGAATAAACTCGTCATCAAATTTGTTAATTTTGTTCGTCTTATGAACCAGGTTTTAAGCATGAGCAGACTGGGTGGAGCTGGGGCAGTAGCTCAGCTTGTGGCTGATGTACCTCTATCATCGGTTGAGGTACTATAATTTCTAATACATAACACATGTTTCTTTTTTTTTTTATAAAAAAAAAAAAAGAAAAGTCTTAAAAGTAAGATTAAATGTCCAAACTCAATAATCTTACGTTCTTACACAAGAAAGCTTTTTATACATAGAGAAATGCATTAGTGAGAGATTATTGAGATGTTAGGTCGATTTTTTTTAGTGTTAATACAGTGAGTTAACAAAGTCTAACAAAGTCAATTAGAATTAGGTCATGATCATTGATGGTGAACTTCCTCACACTTCTTAGGGTATTTGGTTCTTGAAGCATATTCTTTCATTGATAAAATATTCTTATCTTGATTCAAGCTATAACTTTTTTTGTTTGTTTTTAATTATCATTATGCTATGAAAGGGAGAGGGAATTGAAGGAGGAAACAGTCAAGCTGCTTGGGAGAAGTGGTCAACCGACGGCACAGAGCAACAAGTAGCCAAGCTGATGGAAGAAGACATCGGAGCTGCCATGCAGTTCCTTCAGTCCAAGGCACTATGCATCATGCCCATATCACTTGCCACGGCTATTTTTAGGACGCACCAACCAGACGCACCGAATCTTGTGAAGCCCGAATCAAACAGCTCCTCGTAGGGTCCCAGCAGAAAGATGAAGTTGCACATGCCCCAGTTCCCACGAGTGACTTCCACACTCCTGGGGTCCATGAATCCTGTGATTCGTCCATTTTCACTGATGACATTGGGCATTTGGTCCTCTAGTTTCTAACTCATACCAATGAGAGACAATCAAGTCAATGAAGCTGTTCATTGTTTTGTCAGTTTTGTCAAAACAGGGGGACTTTTTTTTCATGACTAGGAAGAAAAAATAACCAAAGGGCATGTGATATTTTTTTTACCTTGGTCAAGCATGTGGGAAGGTTTTGCTTGCTTTTGTCAAAAGGCCATTTGATTGTCTTCTTCTAGTATGAGTGGTGGGGTTTAGTGGTGGATGACCAAAATATTGGTGGTGGGAGCTCTTTTGTTTTTTTTTTCCTTCTTTTTGTTTTTTGTTTTTCCCTTAACTTGGATAATGGGGTACCGGGGCAATTAAAAAGGGCTAGATGGGTATGTGTAACGTATTATGTATTTGGAGAAAAACTTTTAGTGCGAGTTGAAAATAGATAATGCGTCGGTTGTCTCATAAAGCTATTTTGGAAGCTTCTGGTTTTCTTTATTATGTTTTGTATTTGTACTAATCTTATTTGAATTTGTTGTTTATTGAAAAGTGAACTAGGCCTTTCGTTTCAAATCTGCTGAATGATTATGGAAGAGAAAGCTATTGGGTGAGAGAAAGAAAGTAGAAAACGATGTTTAGCAAAAAAAAGATTTAGATGGTAGCATTTTTACTTGTTTCTATCCACGAGAGAAAGGGATGATAAAGTCGGAATTAACAAATTAAAAAGGTTGACATTATTTATGGTTTCCTCAAATTCCAAGGAATATAAACTAATAAGATCTTTTATTGGTGCTTAGTTTAAAAATAAATGAATCATAAAGTAACAAAAAAACTTAAATTTCATATACTCTCGAAGTAAGAACATATTGAGTTACAACTGTACGAGAAGATACAAGATTTGTTCTTTTGAGTGAAAAACTAAAAAAAAAGCAACTCGAGTTACAACTTTATTTGAGTTCATGTTCTTTTAAGTTTAAACTCGAGTTCAAGTTTTCCCTTCAACTCGAGTTCAGAAACTCGAACTCAAATTAATGAACAATATTTTTTCTATTCTTAAAAAAACTATAACTTTTTCGTTTTAATTCTGATTGAGATGATTTTTTTTTCTATGCGTTGACAACGAAAAGACGAATAAAACTTGACCCATATACCCTATTAAAATTTTTCATCAGCATTGAGTTTTTATTAAAATACTATCTAAATACAAATTCAAGTTTTGACTCACTCAAAAAGATTTTTATCTCAAACCATAACTCAAATATACACAACCAAACACAAACTCAAGTTACATGTTCAACTCAAGTTATAACTCAAATTCAACTCAAGAATTATACTCAAGTTAAACTCCAAAAGAACAAGCCCGCAATCTTTAAAAAACAATTAAATCCTTCAAGACGAGAAAATTATTCAAGAAACATGAGTTGAAGTTGTAACTTGAGTGTGACTTGAGTGTAGTTTTTGAGTTGAATTTGAGTTATAACTTGAGTTGAAGTTGTAACTTGAATAAAGTTGAATAAAGTTAGAAATTAAAAGAACGTGAACTTAAATAAAGTTGTAACTTAAATTTAAATTTTTTCTGAGTTCTGTTGCAAAATAACAACTCAAAAACTACCTTTCTAACGATAAAAAGGAGGAAAAACTTTAAGAAAAACGGCATTTAGAGAACATAAACGTTTTTTGTTTTTGTTTTTGTTTCTTTTTTTTTTGACAACATCTATTCAAAAACGATAATTTTTAAGAGAACGACACCATCCTGAAAAACCACATTTCAAGAACGACATCATATTGAAAAATGATTAACCACAAATTTGTTAAAAACGACATCGTCTTCCTAAACATCAAAAAACATTCATACATCTCAGGAAAGGAGCATGAACTTAAAAGTTTGAAAGCCACACGGCCAGAAAATAAAAAAAAACGGCAACATCTTAATAAACGACAATGTCCAAGAAACGACAATTACTGCAAGACTATGAAACAACATGATATTTCTAAACGACAGGACAACATTTTGAAACGACAATGTCACATCACGTTGAAAACGACGTATCATCTCGGAAAACGACAATGACGACAAAACCTGAGAAAACAACATCATGGACAAAGGTAAATATGCTTACAAACATCTGAAGATTACGATACAATAAGAAAGCGCGAAACTGCGGAAGCCGAGTTGAAATGCAATAAAACATCCAACTTGTTTGTTTCAGAAGAATATTTATGCCGTCTTCTTCATTTTCTCCGAATCTCTTTTATGGGAAACCTTAAAGCAATCAATTGATAAAACATCAGCGGTTTTTCGGACTTGGGCACAAAAGATTGGTCTTGTTTTACTTTTGCGGATGATTTTCCGGGTATTCTCTAGAACTTCTTCTACGTACCACCATAACATTCGTCTTCTGAGTTCATCATCAACCAAAAGCAAAAGCAAGATCTTGTGGGACCCAACTGTGTCACTCGACCTCAATCACCAAACTCTCGTTTTGCTCGAGAAATGCAGTTCCAGAAATCATTTCAAACAGATTCTGGCCCTGATGATGAGACTTGGGCTCACTGGGCAGACATTTCCAATGAGCAGGCTTCTCTTTTTCTCAGCAATCTCACATCGCGACAACTTAGACATGGCGATCCTCCTTTTCAATCATTATACCCCTTATCCCAATCTATATATCTATAACACCATGATTTCAGCCTTGTCTTTTTCCAAAAGAAGATCGTTTTCTTTGTACAATTCCATGCTGAATTCTGGTATATGCCCAGATAAACACACCCTCCTTTACCTACTTCAAGCCTCACAATATGTCTCAGAAGTGAAGCAAATACATGGGCATGCCATTGTGACAGGTTTTTTCTCATATGGGTACTTGAAAAATTCACTCATCAAAATGTACTTGGGAAAAGGGTCAAGAAGACTTGCTCACCAGGTGTTCTGCGAAATGTCAACACCGGATGTCGTCTCGTTTAATATCATGATTGTTGGTCATGCCAAGGAGGGGCTTTGCTCTGAGGCCATCAAACTGTTTCATGAAATGACGGGATTCGGTCTTAAAGCGGATGAGTTTACGATGTTAGGACTTTTAGTGTGTTGTGGAGTATTAAGAGATGTGAAACTGGGGAAGTCTGTTCATGCATGGACGGAGAGGAGGAAGATTAGTAGTTCTGTTCATGCATGGACAGAGAGGAGGATGATTAGTAGTTCTTCTTTAAACTTGATCTTGGGTAATGCTCTTCTTGACATGTATGTGAAGTGCAAAGAACTTGATACGGCCTTGAGGGTTTTTAATTCGTTATTGGAGAAGGATATTTTTTCATGGAACACAATCATTGCAGGGTGTGCCAAGGCTGGGGAAATGGAACTTGGTTTATCATTTTTCAATGAAATGCCTAGGAAAGATCTTGTTTCATGGAACTCATTTATTGCTGGCTTTTCTGAGAAGGGTGATTATAAGATGGTTATGAGTCTGTTTAATGCCATGGTCGCGGAGAATGTTAGGCCCGATAACATCACGATGATATGTTTGGTCTCTGCTGTTGCCGAAATTGGAGCGCTGGACCAAGGGAAGTGTATACATGGCTTGATTCTTAAAATGCAAATGAAAGTGGACGCATTTTTGGGTTCAGCGTTAATAGACATGTACTGCAAGTGTGGCAGTGTTGAAAGTGCTTTCTTGGTTTTCCAACAACCAACGAAGAAGGATGTCACCGTATGGACAACAATGATCATGGGATACGCGTTACATGGTTATGGCAACAAAGCCCTGGATCTGTTTTTCGAGATGCAGAGATTTGTAATGCCCAATGATGTTACTTTTGTTGCTGTTCTCACAGCTTGTTCTCATTGTGGTTTTGTGGATGAAGGGCTTAATCTATTTTACGGCATGAAAGAAAAATTCAGTATTGAACCAGGAGTTGAGCACTATGGCTGTTTGGTGGATCTTTTGGGTCGATCGGGTAGGTTGGCGGAGGCCAAAGACGTGATTGAGAAGATGCCAATAGAACCGAGTCGATCCATCTGGGGAGCAATGCTTAGTGCTTGTAGAGCACATGGAAACATGGAACTTGCGGAGATAGCGTCAAAAAAGCTGCTCAAGCTAGAGCCTGAGAAAGAAGGTGGATATGTCTTGTTATCCAATATATACGCTTCCTGTGAGAAGTGGAAGCAATCAGATATGACTAGGGAAGTCATGGACTGCAAGGGAGTGAAGAAGACTGCGGGTTGCAGTAGTGTCATCGTCGATGGACTTGTTCATAATTTTACGGCTGCAGATTCGCGTCATCCAAGATGGCTAGACATCTTTTCTGTTCTCCATTGTCTAAATGGTGAAGTGAAGCTGGATAATGATTTCCCGTTAGACATGCCAATATTCATGGACCCTTGTTGACTCCTTTTGAACCTTGAATGGACCAGCAACTGTTACCTACTGCTGCTACCGGTGGGTTCTGTCCCAAGTGAGGAGAGCCAATAGTGCCAGGAAATCAAGTTTCGAAAAGGAATTGCTAGCTTTGTCGAAGATCATAATTTCTCACTAACATTACTCTTTCTATCACTCTCTTTATTATTATGTGCATTCAATATGACATATTATTATTTAAACATGAAATGAGATAGTATATTTTATATGTCAAACAGTAAATACAGAAAGTGATAGAAAAAATGATGACATTTCTCTGTCAATTTACGCTGCATAACGCTTTTGTCAAGAGATGAAATTTCACAATTCTTTTTTTGATTACCCGCATAAAGCACTATCTTATTCTAATTTGGACAAGAGTGTTAGATTCATAGGAGTTAAAAGCTCATTCTTGTGAAAGATTTTGTACTTACTCCTGGATCTGGAGTTGGTGTCTAAATTGTGTACTAAACTACCAAGATCGAGTTGTCTCTGTGATCTGGATTTTTTTTAAAGGATTATTTTCATAATTGTCCCTTCAAATTACGTACTTTGTTTTAAAATATTTTTTAATTTTTTAAAACGATTCAAAACACTTCTCAATATGTAAAAAATAGATTAATGGGTTGTTTGGTTGAGAGATTTGTACCCCGATTTAAATCATGGTTTATTGTTCGCTACAGTATTTTCTCTCACAAAAAATACACGTAAATCAAAAATAGTTTCAATCTTATGATTCTAATCCATAAACCAAACGTCTCCTAAATTGTCATTTTTGTCTATTTTTGTCTATAAACATAACATGACGTAGCATATTATTAAAAATTTATAAATAATATTTTAACACTTAAGCCCTGTTATTAATAAAAGTATAATTCGCCTTAATATACAATCACACAAAAAATCAAATAAAATTTTAAAACAAAACTAATCAGATTAATCAAAAAACAAACACGCAACACAAGTCTGAAGAACATCTTCGATACCCAGCTCCTACCTGCAAACGGGTCAAACTTTATTGGTGGCTAATAACTATATTTTTAATATAAATCAAAAGCTTTCCAAAAAAAAAAAAAGAGTTAATGGTTGTGTTTGGAGTTGTTTTTATTTTTATTTTTAATAATTTTTGAGAAAAAAATGAAAATAAGAGAGAAATAATATTTGACACAATTAAAGATAAAAAACAGAAATGAAAATAATTTTTTAATTTAATATAAAATGAGAGAAATTTTTTTTCATTTTTTGTTTATGTTTTTTTTCTTTCGAGTAGAGAGAGACATTAATAAATTTTTTTTATATTAAAAATAATCTTTTAATAAAATTATCAAACACATTTTTTAAAATAATTTTTATCTAAAATTAAAAATATTTTTTATTTTTTTATATAAAAAAATAAAATTATTTTAAAATGAATCGGAAACGCACTCAATACGAGTAAAAAGCAAAAAGAGAGATTTAAGTCATGCACAGGCCCTAAATCTACCTTTTACACTCTTTCAAAACTTCAAAAAGCAATCAATGGAGTTAAAACAGGTGGTCATTCTCGTAATAGAAAAAAGAAGAAAACAACAAAAGAAAATCATCAACCAAACGCAATATCTAAGAATCGCACTTCAAAATTTCAAATCAATTTGTAACCATAGATTGACATTCCTTCCTAAAATCAGTTTTCATAAATTTAAACACAAATTGTATGATCTGGGTTGCGAGGGGGCGCAAAGGGGAAGGTGCGAGTTGGACTGCAGAGAAGCTGGGTTCGCACGCGGATGAGGGCATCGGGGCTTGGGTTGCACGGTCGTGGGGATGGTAGGGGCTGGTCGCACAATGGTGGAGACGGAGGGGCGGCGGCCGGCGGGGCTACTTTTACAGATCTGAGTTTTTTTTTTCTTTTTAATTCAGGTTTTTCTCTAGCATAACTGATTTTCTAATTTTCTTATTTTGGAGGTGTTTGAATAAGATTTGATTTGGATATTTTCTTTTTATGGTTTTGAAAGTGTTTGAGCTTTTGATATGTTCTGGGGCCTGCCATTTTAGTCTGCACTTTGAGAGGTAAAGAGGAAGAATACGGTGTATTCTTTTTATTTTTTATTTTTTGTTATTAGTTTATTTATTTATTTTAATATTTAAATATTTTTATAAAATTTAATCACAATTTAATACCTTTAGTTATGTCTCGTTCATTTCACCGATTCGAGTTTTAAGTTTTAAATTTCTACAGTAAAAAACTCAAAAAATATCACATTTAATTTTTTCTGTTACAGTGAAAAATTCTCAAAAAATGTCACATCTCAACTCGAATTGAAAACTCAAATCCGCAAAGTAAATGAGGCCTAATGACATGCCACATCAACAAATTAATTATAAAATGTTTAATTTATAGATTCAGAATCATGATTTATTATTTTAATTTTTAAAATTTAAATTTTTTATGAAAGAAAAACTCTATAACTAAGAATTATAATTTAAAATTAAGAACGAACCTTTAAAATAAATATTTCATTAAAGTTATAGACGAAAGTGAATGGAGAGAGTAATTTATTAATACATTTTATGTAAATTGAGAAGTATTTTGAATCGTTAAAAAAATCAGAAGACATTTTAAAATAAAATACATAATTCAGGAGTCAATAATGAAAATAATCCTTTTTTTTTTTTAATTAGCACAACATTACTCCTAAAAACGTCAGTCCCAGAAGCTGTCATAGAAGTTAAGGATAATCAGAACCAGATATCTGTTTAGTTGTCAAAAAAGAATCAAATCTTCTCCCGAGAGCTTTAAAGAAAGAGCTCAAAAAAAAAAACCCCTTCAAGTTTTTGCTAATCTATTGGGTGTTGAACTACTTGAGCAGAACAAAATTTTTTACAAAGTTGTGTACGACAAATTGTGGACCTATACAAAGCCAAACAAGCACCTTGAAAGAATACTCTGAAATAGAACCCCCTTTATCTTCAGAAACATTTTACACCTACTAATCAGATGATCTAGGTCCAAAACAGTTTACACCCTACGCATCAGAAGATCGAAGATCTAAAGTCAGCTAATGAGAATGATTGAGAGAATCCCTGTAAAGTTCTACACGCCCCCTAATTCTGCAAGTATACCATTTTCCAGGATTTATTTATCTCCCCTATAACTTACAAGTTCCTCCAGCAACAAAACTGCAAATACATGAAGACAAACCCCTAATACACGATATTCGACCACCAAGCTTAAATTAGTCAAAAATATACATCTCCGTTGAAAATCTAACCACTCACGTGGACCCAGAGCTTGCAGTAACCCCACCACCATCTCTTAACCATTGAAGGCTCAAATTTAAGGTTCTTTGCACGTTGTCCGCTACTAATCTCAACCTTCCCTGATTAGTATCCCCAGGCGAAGATCCACTGCCTTCCACAGTCCGAGCAATCCTCTGTTTACACTTCTCCCAATCATCAACACGAAACCAGCAAGCTCGACCTCCGTGGCTGCCATCCATGCCAAGAAAAGACACATTAGGATTTTCACCGAACGAATACCTCAACCTCACAGAGACACAGTAAGGCAACCAAGCAGCGCCGCCAGCAGCATTAATGTGAGGTATGTGGGCAGGATCAAGAACAACCGTGAGTGCAAAATCAACGGAATTATGAGGTCGATCATAGTGGATATTGCTTTTAGCTACCGATGAATTCTCTGAGCTGTCATCCATGTTCAACCCAGCATGATTTTCGAGACATAATTCGATTCGTGGTTTTTGTGCGGGAGCTACATCTCCACCTTGTGCCTGAGCTAATCCTTTCTTCCATGCAATTAACTTTAAGAATTCTCTTAATACTGATATAGGTAAGGTAAGAAGAGTGATAAATGATGCGACACGAGATGCATCATAAGGCTCTGAAGCAACACGGCGACTAAAGTAATCACATATCTCTCCTATTTCAGATTGTGTTAATTCCTCTTGTGCAGTGGTTGAATTCTGCTGCTGCTGTTGCTGCTGTTGATGGTGGAATCGCTTAACACTAAGCACTTGAAGAAGCAGCTGAACTCTGTGGACACTTACAGCAAACACATATCCCCTGTAAACAGACATGCAATCAGATCCAGCAGGGGAGTCGTTATAGAAGCATGCTATGCATATGCAGTAAAAAGCACTCACAAACTTTTGCGAGGCATCTATCATCACTTGATATTACAAGACCCACTCACAAGAACACTAGTTCAACTTGAAGTTTTCACTAAACGATACAAATAGAGAAATGATCAGCAAGTATACACGTAATAATTAATGTAAATGACAGCCAGATGTCACGCCACACAAGCTAGGAACCAAAGAACGATACAACAAACTTTTTGAGAGATAAACAATGAGAATGATCACACACAAAAGAATTGGACTCTAAGACTTACCCAACAAAGAAACGCAAGGCAGGCTGCTCCTGGTCCAAATTTAGAAGTGCACCTTCATTGTCCTTCAAGATAGATCCTAGTATCTCTTTCAAAAGATCCGGTAGCTGAGCAAATAGCCATAGAACTCCTAGATACTTGAGAATACCTCTTAGCACTTTCTTAAGAGCAACAAGAGGAACCCAACCACCTCCATAACCACCATCGTCGCCAAGCCCAATAATTGCTGTATTCAATTCTCCTCTCACATGTGCAGGAACACCTGTTCCAGGTGATCTGCGTAAAGGAACCCCTGTGTTCAGAACAGCCAAATTTGAGGATCCTGGAGGAACACTTCCCATACGGTTAAAAGCAGCCACTTGGCTTCCTGCCCTTGACACTGCAGCAGTACCTGGGAGGTTGATCCTATTTCCATTGGCCGATGACAATTGTGATCCTGAAGTTTGGTTTTGATTATTTGCCAAACCCCCTGACTGCTGACTACCAACAAAACTAGGCTCTAACACATTCAATTCTTGGGCAACATGCTCCATAATGAATGGTCGAAACTGTGGACAAGGTAATGACCCTCCAACTGAAGGCCCCCCCTTGGGTGGTGTTGCCGGTTGTAACCAGACCTGATCACCAGCAAAGCAACGCATGTCCACAGCAAAGTGTTTCCTATATATGATACGTATCCAGTAGGGGCCTCGTAACACAACTGAGACATCAATAGGCAACAATGAGCTAGGAACAATTCCAGGGCCACCTCGGCTTGCAGCAGCTAACATTGCAGCCCCATGAACGCTATGATTTGCAAGAGGACCAGCAGCAGTAACTGAAGCAGGGTTCCCAATGGTACTAGAGGGACCCTGACTAACATTAGCAGTCACGCCGCTCGGTAGAAGTCCCTGGGATGCTAAGTACCCAGCTTGTTTTGGAAGAGAGGAGAGTGCTGCTGCAACCCCAGGGACCCCTGGAATAGGACCAGCTCGTGCTGGCCGAGTTGCAGCGGTAAGAGCATGCAAGGGTCCTGCGGTGAGGCGAATGCAGTCCAAAAGAGATGCAACTTCAGCTCCATTTATAAAATCTTCCAAGAACTGTAAGCAGCAGGAAACAAAAACGTAAGTATTTGCAAATCTTCATTGCAATAAATATAACATGAACCAAAAGGCAGCCTTCAAGGTGAGCATCTAGAAGAGAAGACTATGCTTATCAAGAAGAAAGAAAAGAATTCAACATTATGTTTCTCTTTAAACCCGGCATGCTGCCCGCATACAGTTTTGCATTTATGAAAAGCTTGAGCCACAAAGTAATTTATAATTGCACATTGTATGAGCAGATGACCAAGTAATGATTTTAAACAAGTTATTCCATATAAATTTCAATATAAGGGCTGTTCCCTTTGATTACAGACGAACAAATACAAGGCCCTAGTTGGCAAGATAGAAAATTTGCCTACTGGAGTCAAAAAGACCGTGGAAAGAATTTGACTAATAAACTAATGCGCAATGTAAGGGGCAACAGAGATGGTGAACCCAGAGCACAGATAGCAATAACAAGCGTCAGTATAAGAAGAATCACCAGAGCATACAATGACAAATTCCTGAAAACCTAAGACAACTAAACCAAGTAGTGCTGACAGACCAAAGACGGAAACACACAAAAAACAAACAAAAAATTAAAAAACAAAAACAAAACAAAAGGCTTTAGAGAAGGTAGTGTATTAAAGTTAATAGAGGAAGGAAATAAAAAACCTTGGTGTGTGGCCATAGTTGATCAGGAGTTACATGCATTGTGCATCCCTCTTTGCCTGATTCCCACTCAACACCAAACCGGGCCACAACACCTGATCCAAAACTGAACCACAAACTCATTAGTCCAACTGCCTCAATTCTAAATGCCCTTCTCATCTGCTCTGACAATCGGTCAACTGCATCCAAAGCACCCTTAGCTGAAAGGGGAGCTTTGACATCAGAACTTGAACTGCTTTCTTCTGCCTTCTCATCTGCCCTTACTCCAAGCAATTTCCTCATCCCAAGCGCAAACATTCTTGCATTAGAAAGCCTTTGGATATCTGCCACTAATTTCTTTATACTATTACTCTCAACAGACTGGTAGCTGAGAACAACACCTTCTGGATCATATCGGATATGAGAATCTATATCAGATGTATTGGCTATGCGAACTCCGGAGCCCCATGGTGTACTATTGCTTCCTTTCTGAAGCTCCCACAAGTCCCTGAAGTGTTGGTCATTTATCTTGACATCCCAATACATGCTTCCAGGTCTTCCAAGTCGCAAACAAATGTGTTGCCATGTATCAGCTCTGGAAAATGGTAGTCGGAACCATATTTTAGAGGAAGCACTTCTTAAACCCACTTCTTCAACATATGGAATGTCCAGCTCCTCCATCTGGCTAGTCAATCTGGCATGGTTGATACAAAGCGAACAGTGCCTGACCACATGGAGAAGAGCTGAAACATAAACGCTAGATGCCGCATTTCCTTTATTAGCTTCAGCTATAAGATTGCCATAATTGTATCCATCAGTTTTTGAAACCATGTCCATTGGCACAAGCATTTGTGACGATTTTTGAGCACGAGCAACTTCTGATATTTTTCTTCTCTTACAAAATCCTTTAGTTTCTACACCTTTAAGTGATGGAATCAAATTCAGCATATCTGAAACTGTACGCTTTCGAGGATTCTTTTCATGTTTTGAAAGAACATCATAACTAGGGCTTCGGCACACTGCATAATCCAACGCCTGGGCTGAAAACAGTATATATTTTACTAGTCATATACCGTCAATTAGAGATGATACACATACACACACGCGTATAAAACTAACAAATTCCACTTAATATAGAGACATACAGATAAGATGTCTTACATACGGGAGTTGCACATGAGCTTGATCCGGCAACCTTGGAAGATCCAGCTAGAGGACCAGAAGGTGAGATTCTGGGTCCATTAGCTTTCACAGTTGAACCAGAGACTCGAGGGCCAGTGGGTAGGGGTGGAGATAAGAGTTGAGACAACCTTCCATATATTGCATCCTTTGAAGAATCATTTAGCAATCTCAGTTGATCTTCATCCATAGAAGTACAAGAACCAAACTCAGCAGACTGTGGAGACCTAAGCGAAGGCAAATCCTGCTCAGACTTTGAAGCAGATAGCTTTGTACCAGCAACACCCCTTCCTGGGATGGATGACAACGAACCAAGAGAATTGGTCTGCACTGAGCCCTTCAAATTGCTTGGAGAATGTAAGGAGGCAGCATAAGACGAAGCTCCACTTGAAACTTTTGCAAAATTGCTTATCTGTGATGTTTGCAAAGTTCCCTCCCATTTAGGAGAGGCTGTTCCAGCTTTTATGGCATGAAGATTGACAGGTACCGAGCCAAAACGAGAAGATGCATTAAAAGGAGAAGAAACATTCTGCATAGATGGTCCTCTCTCAAGTTCAAATACTTCATCAACAACAGATGAGAAACTTGATGGAGGGCCTCCTGCAATCTGCATAGAACCCTCAAGGCTAAGATCTGAAAGAAGACCACTTTCAGAAATCCGATTAGTGCCCCCAGCACTAGGCAAAAAGGAATGTGTTTTTCCCCACTCTAGCAAGCTCAACGTCATTTCATCTTCAAGCATCTGCATCTGGCCAATGTCAATTTTCTTAATACGTGTCACTTGATTTAGGTTACTAAAAGAAGGAACCTTTCCGGGCAGTTCTGACTGAGTCTCTAGCATTTTAAAAACGGGTTTGAAATCCTTATCAAGTTGCATAAGCAGAAAATAAGAACTCCCACAGTCTGGAAATCCCAGCAGTAACATAGCTGAACCGTTCAAAATGTTCTTGGGCAACTTAACTGCAGGCAATCCATGTTCATAAACCTGCAAAAAAAAACTTTATTGACTTATTCACGTATACCACGTAGACCAGAGCATAAATCAATAATTCAGCATCCTGTAAATAATATTCTTGAAATCAGTATAAATAGACACTCACCTCAAGGCCCAAAAATCTGCTGATGGATGCAAATAAGTGCAAAATACTTTTGCTTCTCAAGCTTATGAAAACGTCAGCCGCATTCATACTTCCTTGATTCAGAGCATCTTCACATTCTAGCAATGCTGATGATTCGATAATATTCTGCGATGATTGGAGAAGATACCGACCAGTCCTACAAGTAAATGGCTTAAGTAAGAGCTAGAATCTAAAACAATAGTCCACCACAGTAAAATGTAAGTGGTAGACTTCTTAGAAAGAAAAATAAAAATCGAAGGAAGATCATGAAAAGACATTAATTACGCAACCCTTGACAGGTAGATCACAGGTCCAAATACTTCCCAGCTCCTTACATTGTGGAGTGGACATTTCAGAAACAAAATTAAGTCTTCTAAGTTCTAATATGAAAGAGAACTCAGAAACTTCTACCATTTTCTAACTAACAAGTATTGGCTCTAATACTTCTTTTTTAATATAAGTATACAATAAGAATAATGAAGTTGCCATTAGGTCATACTTTAAGGAAGGCATGAGCACACATATAAAGAAATCCATCAAATAATAAAGACCTCGCATTGCATGGGAAAAAAAATACCTTATGTTTATTCCCAGGGTAAAAAATGACGAACCATATGCACGCACACGTAATACTTCCAGTCCTTCTTCGTATTCTCTAGCATTGGCCTTATAATCTTTCTGCAAAAGCAGAAAAGCAAAATGTAACCATTAAGCATTGGCCCCTCACATAAAAGAAAGTCTAATAGCACAAAAAAAAAAAAAAACCCATGCAACTAAAAAAGGGAAAACATAAATTAAGAACCTTTTTAGAATCGATGTCAACTTCGTCCACACACGACTGAATAACAACATCACCTGCAGCTCGACAAAGCTGAACATTTTTCCCAAGGACTTTCTGGATTTCAAGGAGTCTAGTGTACCTATTACAACATATAGCTCTTAGCAGCAACTTCTCAACGTCAATACAACTTTGGTCAAGTGAAAACTCTGCCTCCTTCCCAGTTAATGGATCGATGACAAATGTACTATGAACACACTTTATCTGCAGATCTGATCCTGGTTCAATTTTTATAAATGGGCATGATCCTGAGTCAGGCACACCAGTATTTTTATCAAAATCTAACCAGTATATAATTTTTAACCCTGGAGTACGAAGACCAGATGTATCAGCTTCTCCATCTTGATTTATTTGTGAAGAACCAGTACTTCCCCCATGACCCATGCTTCCATCAGAGATGAGCTCAAATTTAATTGCATCTCTCCATCTCCCTTGTCGAAGAGCCTGTACTTGCCTAATGACAGTGTCCATAACAAGTGCAACACAGAGCTCATGAAGAACTGAGTATAATGTTATGAAGGGATTTTCTGCAGCAGCCATTCTGCGCTCTAAATCATCTCCAAGTGCATGCCGTCGCAATTCCTCCAACTTTATGAGTCCACTTCTCTCACCAACAAGTAGCTCCAAATGTAATATTCTCCACAAGGATAGGTGTCCACGGTATCCAAGAGTGACTAAAACCTTAAATTCTCCATTGATACGAAACAGTGCAGTACCGTCTGAAACTTTGACTTCAGAAATTTCTTTTGGGAGTGAAACTTCCAAGAGTTTAGACCTTACTAGCGTGTCCAATTTTTTCAAAGCTGGTTGCTGCTCATCCTCGTTTAATGTGCTTTGCATTCCCACATCTTCTATACATTTAGGCAAACGCTGATAAGAACCTGTTAGAAGAACTTCAATGGCAGATGGAACATCATAAACCGGAGCCCGAGCTTGTTGCAGTCCTTCATGCATAAAAAATAACGAATCTGCAGCTTGAGTGAAACAAGTATCATGACTCGACAAAGTGGACGCAAGCTGCTGACAGTACTGTATCAAAGGAACCTGCAAATCAAATGGCAAGAATAATCAAATAAACCTTTCAATCTAATCTCATAAATACTACCTACAAAAGTGAAAAATGAGATGCCTATTCGTTCGGTATTCATGCCCTAGTCTCCCTCCAATCCGCTTCATATACAATTTCTCCTTACACGTCTGACTGGCATCATCTTGTTTCCAATAAAATTATGGTGAATAACATTAATTCGGTCCATCTTAGACGTTCATAACTTCAAACATAGTATGAAAATTCTAAATTTATAAATTTATCCACTTTTCCAAAATCTAGATCGCAAGTCATCTTAGCCCCAAACAAACACCTAAGAGGCAAAAGCTACTCCAAGTGACAAAATTGCTCGTCCAAACCCCCCATAACTAATACCAAACCTCCACTCCAAACATCCGAAAGCAAGAAAGAAACAAACTACGCTGAGAATATCCATATCTTCCCATGTCAACCAGCTTCCGAGCACGGGCAATCCCGACCGCTCAAGTCCCCAAATCCAAATATACATTCTTTCAATTAAACGAACTAAATTCAAATCTTCCACCCCATAAAAACCCTAAATTTTCATTCACCGGCAAGAAAATCCAAAAAAGGGGCCTAAAAGGCGCGATTTTTGAAGTCCCAATTGACATGTGAGCGAAAACGCCGAAACCATCCAGGTCCAATACATGAAAACACCGTGCGAAAAGATAGAAAAGGAGCAAGAAAGCGGAGGTTCGGACCTGTTGACACCATTTGGCGAGGACATTGAGGCGGAGCATGCGCTGCTGGGTCTTGACGAGGTACTTGAGGATGTTAATCTTCTTCTCGGAATCGGATTGGTCGGAATCCCTGGATTTCTCGACGAGCTCCTTGAGGGAGAGGTAGGATTCCTCGGCGGCACGGCCGACCAGGGTGGAGAACTCCACCGTCTGTTGCCCTAGCTCGGCGGCCATTGATTGAGGATGCAAAGGACGGACGGACGGAGCTCGAGGATCTAGCAATACAGGCCAGACATGGAAGCTAGGGTTAGGGGAAATTCGAACAGCAACGGAATCGGAGAAGAGTGAAGAAGAGCTCTTTCAGCTCCCTCTCTCTCTCGCAATGTTTGTGTTCGCGTCGATTCCCTGGATTTTTTAGCGTTCTAGAGAGAGAAACAGAAAATTCGAAGAGAGAGAGAGGGAGAGTGAGAGAATTGAGGAGGAAGGAATGGATGGGTCCTACTCATAGAGTTTAACTTGCCACGTGGCGATGTACAGTAAGGATTCACTATTTTTTTTTTTTTCTAAAAGAAGAAAAAAAAAAGGGGGAGGATTGTGCATGGCGATTGGCGACTACATCTACATGATAAAAATTAACAATGTAATAACAGGAAATTTTACGGGTGACAAACAAATTGTGGACATTTGATTCACGTATTCAGAATTATAATTTAAAATTATTTTTAATTTATGTATTTTTTTATGATAAAAAATATTGTAACGAATCACAAATCATAATTCGAACCATATCACGAATCTTCATACCAAACACCCTCAGGTTCGTTTGATATGAGAGTTCAAATTAGGGTGATTCTAGTTTTGAATTTAGAACCATAACCATAATTCATTATTTTGGGTCCAAATCATAGTTCTGAAACTATAACGAGAATAGAAGGTTTGAACCACCCAAAATTAAGGGGGAGTGGTTTTAGAATCATGGGTGATTTATGGTTTAAAACATCACATTAGGGTTTAAACCTTGAATCAGAATCATCATAAATGTTTGGTTCATGGATTCAAAACCATTCTCGTTTTACGTGTATTTTTTGTGAGAGAAAAATAATGTAGAAAACTATGAATCATGATTCAAAATCAGAGACGAATACAGAAAACAATAGAGGGTGAGTCAAATCATAATCATTTTTTATTTTTTGTAAATAAACATTGATTCTGAATCACAATCATAGTTCCGGGTTCAAAACCCTTATACCAAACAATACCTAAAACAAAATTTTAAAAGATTTGGAAATGATGGTGCATGTCCATTATTGCAAGTTTTAGGGCCCGTTTGTTTCTTGTGTTTAAACTCGTGATTTTAATTATGTTACAGTGTTTTCATCTCATAAAAAAATGGAATTTCAAATACGAGAATCAAAAATCACTTATTTGAACGCATGAACCAAACAAGCCTTAAGAATTTAATATCTACTTTACTATGTACATACTATGTACAAATCCATGATTCCTCATTGAAGCCCTTAATTAGAATTAATGCTGCAAAACAACAAAAAGATAGTGTTCTAATTGTTAATTGTTGTTGACGTATAAAAGATGATATTTTTCTAGTACATACTGAAAAATTGAACTATCAAAAGGTTACATTTTTATTAGTTAAATATGTATTAAAAATTATATATTCTTTATTTTTTTTGTAATATTATGTGATTTTGATAAAATTTAATAGAAAGAAATGGGCTTTACCATTAGGAAGGTCCTCCCATACCCATAAAAGAAATATAGGGCGTGTTTGAAATTCGTTCTAAAATAATTTTATTTTTTGTATGAAAATAAAAATGAAAACGTTTTCAATCTCAGAGAAAATTCATTTTTGAAAATGCATTTGGTAGTTTTATCAAGAAATTATTTTCAATATAAAAAAAATTCATTAATGTCTTTCTTTCTCTCTGCTCGAAAGAGGAGAAAACGAAAATAAAAAATGAGAAACGACTAAATATCGTTTTTCATTTATCTCTCATTTTACACTAAACCAACAAATTATTTTCATTTATGTTTTTTGTTTTTATTGCGCCAAACGCCGTTTTAGAAACTTTTTTATTTTTTCTTTCTTAAAAAACGTGAAAAATAAAAACGGGATCAATTCCAAACACGGCCATAGACTTTCCCCCTCATAATTAATCACTCCAGCATAGATCTTAAATACTCTGCTTTTACCAAAGTATATGTCTATAGATCTTCGATATATACAGTAACCATGTTATTTATACCCACACAAAAACTTCATAGGCTACATATGGTTGCCAGCCAGATTACGGGAGCAGAGAGTATTCTGATGTCATAATAGAAGTTACATAATAACACTTTTCTTCCGCTTATCGTGATCCTTTTGCTGATTATACTCGTATTTTAAGAGTAACTAAGGTCACTGACTCACTGTTTGCCTTCTAGTTTCCTCGATCGTATATGCATTTACTCTTTAGAGCCTCGGAAAGTGAAACTGAAACACAGAACCCAGATGGGTTGTGTTCCCGTCTAGATGGCCCGTAGACATAGCCCAAACGACAACGCCCATTAAAATATCACGGGCCAAGACTCTTAGGGCCTATGATGACAAAAGGCAAGATATGCCACCGTTCATGTATATAATTACGGGAGAAAGAATGAGATGAACTAAAATTAATAAGCTAATAGTTTATATAAGTTAATAAATAGACTAAATTATTATTTTTGTCTATAATTTTTCTGGTTATGAACCATAACTTGACAAGTTATTGTCCATAACTTGTCTGGCTATAAATCATAACTTGATAAGTTTGTCCATAACTTATCTGGTTATGAACAATAATTTGACAAATTATGGCCTATTAATTTCTATAACTACAAATTGGCCTATATACTTTCTTAAGCTTTTCATATTGGCCTATTTTCTATTATTTTCCATAATTCATTTATGTCTTGAAAATAAAATTATGCAAAAAATGTCGTGTTATGACATTTAAAATACAACTAAATTATTATTATTATTATTTTTATTTTTATACTAAGAAACGACAGTAATCGCCGGTGACGGTGGATATCCTGCAATGGTACTTAGAGATAACCTAGCATGATACTATATTGGTAACCGCATGGCGTTTAGAGGTATAGGGTCTTGATAAGTATTTCACTATGACATTTGGCCTGCGGAGAAAGAAAACAAATATCTTTTAGAATGCATGGTTTGAATTTTTACTTTTTATTATTAATTTATAATTTTTTTAGTTAAATAATTATATTAATCAAAAAGGTATCATCAAGAATAAAAGATAAAAATTTAAACTTACACTCTAAAAATAATTAAGCAAAAATTGTTTTTTTGACACCGTATCATGTTATGATACTAGAAATTCTGGCATTATTCTACCATGATAGTTAGAGACATCTCGTCGCGTCCCATGATATTAAAAATTCCAACAATCAGTAACAGCTAGTCAGTTGGTGTCGTACCATAATACCTTATTATCGTCGATCGACGATCCTTGGTATTTTAGCATTGCTGGTATTGATTGTGGCTCATGGCTATCACCAACTTTTTCATCGTAATACTTCAAAAATCACCATATATAACTTAAAAATCATGAAAAAGTCAACTAGCATACAAACATAAGAGAATTGATAATGAAAAGTTTTTTGCAAAAAAAACAAACTTTTCGTGAGGCATTTTTTTTTTTTAGTTTTACTTTAAAGTTTCCATATATTTCCGGTTTTTGTTATATAATTATTTAAATCCCACTGCTGCATAGTTTTTCACGTAATAGACTAATAGGATTTCAGTTGAACAATTTAACCTGGCAAAATTTCAATAATGGAGCCAATCAATAAAAGCGACAATATTGATATTTATCCGAGACGGTAACTTTTGTTATCACAACCATATTTAATATATATATATATATATATATATATATATCGATATGTTGTAAAAAAAAAAAAAAAAGGTCAATGCTGTTAAATTCGTGACTAGTTTGACCATCCGGTTGGAGCAATTTTTATCAAAATTTCTTGATCAATATAATCTGATCCAAAACAGTGTTGTGAGCCAACACGTCTTCCTTGTTTCGGTCTCGCAAAATATACAAGGGTACCTCTTTTTATGTTTGATGAATAGAAAACTCTTTGCAAAAATTATGCAGGTAAGATCCAGTATGTGTTATTTGGTGGATCGAAATTAATTAATCAAATTGCTCTTTAATAATTGTAAAATGAAAGAGTTATAATTTCACTTTTTGCCTTCAAACTACGTTATTCATCCCACTTCCACTCTTGAATTTTAAAATATTATAAAATATTAATGCATCATAAGCTATGTTTTTTGTCTCATATTTGAGGCAAAAATAACTAACATCTCAATGGAATCAATTGTGTGATACTCACATGCTTAGTTAATAAGGTCATTTTAAACAAATCACACCTAAGTAAATTTAAAATTAAAAATAAAAACAATTATGACGAAACGATGTATGTAAGGGCGAAATTTCTTTAAATTCATCCTGATAAAGAGATCTGTTTAAAATACTTTTCATTAATAAATAATGTGAGATTCACTAGGTTGATTCCGTCGAATCTTTTAATTTTTGTGATTGAAGGGCCAAACAAGGACAAAAGACGTAGTTTGGAGTGTAATTTATGATGTCTTAAAATTCGCAAGTCAAAATAGAACAAAAGATGCCGGAGCTAAAAAGTGAGATTTAGAATAGAATGATAAAATAGCGTGAAATTTGTAACGTATCATTAATCCGATGGATCATAGATCAGGTTAATTAACACGTGCCAAATGCAAGATAACTTTCTCACAATATTGAAGCAATATTAGAAATTACAAACTCAAAGTTTGCCTTTTTCTTTTCTTTTTTCCTTCTATGTACAGTTGAGTTCGGAGATCGGATATATACATATGATCATCAACAAAATACACAGGGCCTTTCTTTGCATTAAAAAAAATATATTTTTTTCTTTGTCCTGTAGAGAACATATTAATTCCTGTGCCAAACTTTCCGCTGCTATTCCGCAACAAAACATCAAAGATCTGAAGGTTATATTTCTTCACCGACAGCCCAAGCTCAAGTGTTAACCCCTTTGGTTACCATGACAAATTATATCCGATGATCATGAATCACACGGCACAGCCCAAGCCTCTAGCTTCCGAGCCTTTCATGATTCTCAGCTTATTGCATGAAGAAATGAACATTCTGTACACAAAGATAAGTTCAAAGAAAAATTAGCTTAAATATCTAAAATGGGCAATAAGACTAATTATAGGAAATTATTTATTAAAAAAAAAAAAAAAAAAAAAAGAGTCCAAATTTAATACTTACTCCCAAGGAACATCGCCAACCAACATCCAATCTCCATCTTTGTCCTCATAAGTAGGCACAAATTCTGAGCCATTGTAGCCTTGTCTCTCGCAATATTGGCCAACTTTGAACTTGAACATGTCTTCCAAGGCCTTAAGAAGCTCAGGATATCCCTTGTACACCTTCAAATCCATTTTTCTCAAGTATGGTGCTCCATCCATGCTAACTTTCACATAAATCCCGCTCGCTTCGGCTTCTGCATTCGTCTTCTTTGCTTGGAAGCAGTTTTTCCGGTATGACCTCACCGGTGGCCACCCCACAACTTGTGCCCTACACATATTTTGTAACACATGCCAATATTTAGTCAATCTTCATCAATTCATACGCAGAAATCATTAAAACAAAAAGAAAATATTGATGAATTTCGTGAGAATATTTGCTTACTTTGTAGGTGGAGCGTTTTCTCGGTCGTCATTACTAAATTTCTTGGCATCCGGGGTGGTGTTGTTAGTAGATTTAGGTTCTTCATTTGTGTCGTTTGCCAAAGCTCTCTTGTTGCCTCTTGCGCATCCTGGTAATCCAAGCGTAAGCTCTGTGGCTTTGAGATCGTCTTTCGCAAACATTGCCATGTGATCTTCTTGACAAATTATTTCCTTTTCTTTTCCTCTTCTGTAAATCTTTGACGCTTTCCAACTTTCAGAACAATATATTTGATCTCTGTGTGTATGTATTCCGGTGTTGAGAGGTTGAGAGAATGTGTGATGCACCTAAACGAATTCCAAACCTATTTTATAGAAGAAAGTAAGACAAAGGAAAATGATAATAATAATAATTATAATAATAACATTTTCTAAGTAATACACTGCTACTGCCTATGGCGCGTGGACTATAGTACTGAAACAGAAAAAGGCCAAGTTTTAAGAGAAAGTAGAGGCTACGTGCTAATAGAGAGAGTGAGAATAGCATTTTTTAGCTTTTTTTATGTTTTATTATTATTATTTTTTGGGTATTAATTTACATGGTATAGAATTGTGATGTGCATGAATTTGGACATAGGAGCTAATTGTGTTTGTCCCAAAAACAGGACAGTTGAGGAACTTGTCCTTACATTATGGGGACAAAGGTGGGACAAGCCCTAAGCCGGCCATATTGAAGACCGGACTGGTTCCTCTAATCGGACGAGGTACATTTGATCCAAGGATTACGCGCAAACAAGTGCGGACCGTTAGATTGATAGGGGGGGTGGTAGGGTGCACCCCATGTGGGTGGGTCCACATGGGATGTCGTTGGTGGGCAACGCATGAGGTGGTCTTTAGAGGGCTAAGATAAGGGTAGGGACCTAATTGAGAAGTTTTTTTAGGCAGTTTCATGTGGGTATGGGCAGGCATCCATGAGCCATTGCCTTACATTTAGGGAGTTCCTCATTTAAGTGTAATAATTAGCTCATTGGGCTTATTGGGTAGACCTTGCCTCCCCATTGTGTTTGGGGTATGCTTTGAAAAAGTAAAGCAAAGCCCTTCAAAGCAAACCAAACCCTCCATATTGAGTGTTGTTCAAAAGTGAGACTATAGAATTTTTTCCCCCTTTGATAGCTCACATATGAAAGCAAAATGCAAAAGTTTGACTTTGTTCCTCAAGATTTTTATTTATTTATTTATTTATTTACTTATAGGATTTTCTTATTAAATAAATGAAATATGAGGGGGGAAAAGAATCCAATGCGATCGAGCCTTAAGATCAGCTTGGTTTGTCTGGAATAATTTGAAAAGAAAAAAGAAAAAAAGAGGGAGAGAGAAAAGTAGTTCAAACCAATCCAAGTTGTGACTTGGGATAACTACAAGTCAGCAACTCGTAATAGTGGATATTTTACTACTTAATTTCATTAGTATAAATGTGACTACATTTAATATACTTTTGATAAGAGAGGAATGTTAATCGTATAAAGTCTGGACGACTTTAAAATACTAATTGGCCTTTTTATACATGAATTTATCTTGATGAAAAATGTATCATTTGGACAAAACAAACTCACATATCATTTCTGTATATGCATGATTCGATGTATTTCATTCTTTGTTTAAGAAAAAAAAATTTACTGATATATGTCTCATTTCATACAGTCGTGAAGATGAAATGGCCCCTAGATGAGACGAAAAGGCAAATGAAGCTAATTATTGTGATTAGACTAAATTGTGTTGATACCTTAATTTATCATTAACAAACCAGCAGGAAAAATGTTTATAGATTCCGCGTTTCTTAAATGCATTTTTTTTTATCAAAACATTCAATATTTTGTATAATATGTTTATAGATTCCGAGACAAAGCTATATTTGGAAAAAAAAAAAAAAATTTGTTGAACTTAAATGAAAGTTTAATAAAACTAAACTATTATTCTCTATCTAAAATTTCTCTAATTATCAGGTGAAAACAATAATACAAGTATATATATATATATATAGGTGTGATCATGCAAGTAGCGTAAATGTTACCTTATGTTAGCAATCTGCTCATAACCCTTCACGTGAAGACGACAAACTCATAAACACAATCATGAAACAAAAGCAATCATTGTTTCAAGTAAAATTTCAGGTCTTAAAGCTTCATTATGTCTTCTAAAACATGATCATAATTAGCGGTTTAAGACAATTATTTTTGTCTGTATTTCCTTGTCACAATAGCACATGCCCAAGTCCCCGTACTTTAAGGATAGCTAAATCCCGGATTAGGTTACACATAAATAGGATAAGCTTAAACTTTGAGTTGGAACCAAACACTCTAAGGCCCTGTTCACTTCGCTGATTTGAGTTTAGAATTCGAGTTTTTCTACAATAAAAAGCTCTCACAAACAATCACATCTAACTTTTTTACTACAGTAAAAAGCTCTCACATAAAATCACATCTCAACTCGAATTCTAAACTCAAATCAGCGAAGTGAACGGGGCCTAAATTTACTAACCCTAGAGCACGACACCTTCATGTTTTATATCAAGTGGGATTGTGGTTTACTTGGACCCAAAAATGAAAAAGAAAAATAATTAAATAAATAAAATCACGAAATTGCAAAAGCGACTATTGTCTCGTGGGCCAAATAGCCCAAAAGGCAAATTAAACTCATCTCTAAAGGGGAAAGGACCGCAGACACAAAGGGTCCACTGATTTTGGTTGATTTTGTGAGACACTACTTTATTGAGGTTTGCTTTACCCTCTGGCTGGGGCCCACCAAACACCCAATAATGGCCAGCCTATCAAAGGCCCCCACACCCTTTCCTAGCCCCGACCAAAATGGGCCCCACGAAAAGCCTACTCCAGCTAATTGAGCTTCTCCTTATCATCCAACCTCTCTACTTTCATTTTTTTTTTTTTTTTTTTTTCCAATTCTCCATTGTTACATAAATATTCTCTGTTTTCTTTTTCTATGTTTTTTTTTTTGAGGAGTTTTGCTCACTTTTGGCTTTTAAATTTGGGGTTATGAAAATCTCTCTTTTTTTTTTTTGCTAGAATTATGAAAATCTCTTATTACAATAGAAAATTAATGAACAAGCATAAATATTCCGCAACTTATGTAAACACGTGAGTTTGAGTTTGAACTTAAAATTACTCTAACGTTGTGTTAGCTCATTAACTTTCTTAAAAATTTAAGTTGGTAAAATATATTGGCTAATAATATAGGGTTTGTTTGTAATAATAAGATAACAATATTGGCTAAATTTTGAGGAAGCTGTTGTGTCATGTGTGCGTAAGGATTATGAATAAGGAAAATATCACAAAATTACGACGAAAATGTAGAATGTAACTTTGCGAGATCTATCTACAACTCATTTAATGCATTTGGTATCAAAATCGCTTTCTCATTGAATCTTTAGGCAGGGTAGGGAGGAGACAACCCACTCGTGAACTGAACATAGCCACGTTTAGGTTTTCATTTTCAAGCCTTGGGGATTAGATCTTAAAATGTTCATGAAAATCATGGCTTGACATTTTGACATTAGGTTTAGATGATGTTTTGTATTATTTATTTATTTATTTATTATTACACGTCATAAAAGAGTGACAAGTGAAGTTTGTGTTACACCAATCAATTATTGTAACGTGTTAACCTAATTTAAAACAAACACGCGTAACTAATGTACTGCAAGCAAGAAATTTTTTAGAAAAATTAACAGAACCCGATACAAATCTATAATTTAAAACCGTTCCCTATTCTTAAAATCAAGGAAATGGTTACTATCCTTGACCATTTCTTATGTGCGAGCTTCTCTTCAGTTTGGCAGGTATTGCGGGTAAAATGAGTACAACATGCCGTACAAATCATGTTTTTACTTGCTTACGTGGGGATATAGCAACAAGAGTTTTCTTTTTCTTTCTTTTTTATTTTTATTTTATTTTATTTTTTTCGTGGCTAGGGCCTAGAAATGTTGCAATAAGGAGGTAGGAAGTAAGAGATCGGAAATGGGACAATTGAAATTTGTTTTCGCAAAACTCCCCTAAAGAAAGAAAAAGATTGGAAAATTACTTTTTTTTTGTGTGTGGATGAGAGAGTCCAAACAAATGCGGGACAGTACAGACTTAAGAAATTATATGTAGTAAAGTAATCTTGATAAATATTTTTTAAAAGTGTATGAGTCATGATTTTTATGTTTCACTCTTGATTTATAATCTTTTTACTCAAATAATTATACTAACAAAATAACATTTATCAAAAATAAAAAATAAACGTATAAATTCACACACTCTTAAAAGTAATTTTTTTTATTTTTTAAGGATAACGATTGTATAAGCCGAAATTGACCCATCAGAGAAAAAGTAAAAAATAAAACCAAGATTGACAACTTTTATTTTTATTTTTTTGAAAAAAAGTAAGGAAAAAGAGTACCAGCACCAAGCACATTAATGGCACACGTGTGGTGCGTGTGGATGGCGATAGAGCCAGGAGACTGTGGGCTGTAGTGGTAGCGGTCCTAATGAGGGCAGACGAATGAGGGGTCTAAGACGTGGGCAGTGGGCCTCATGAGCTGGCCCACGAACACACGAGGGCCTTTGACTGTCGATTCTTTGGCATGGGCCATCCGCACTTTTGTTTGGTACCGAGAGGCAAGGCAAGTCCTTGTCATAGCTTACTTTCTGTGTTTTGTCAGTTTTCCAAGGGAAAATTTTGAGTTGTGACCAAAGATAAATGTTGGTTGACAGACACACCCTTTTTTACTTGGTTTTTTACTTTTATCTCCCAACATTTTAATAAATATAAGAGTTTTGTGTTAAACTAAAATCATTGTGAGTTCCATAGTCAGGAATAAAACGACAACAAAGTCATATTTAGGAATAGATCAAGGAAAAAATTGTCGCCATACTAATAATCCAATACCAACAGTGCAAAAAAAAAATCTTTTTTTTTTTTTTTTTTAAATAAGACTTGGAGCCATCATTTTCCTTCATAATTTATGAATTTTACCTACCCGACAAATACATTTAAATAGTTGATAGTGAATTAGTAGCAGTGGGGGCCATTTCAAGGATAAACTTCAAGAAAGTGATGACATGTGATTAAGTATAGGCCTTTTAATGAGAGTTGTGGGGTTAAGAATCATATTATCTCAATTGAATTGTAGCACTCATTGAGTTCTCTCTCTGTGGTCATTTATTTTCTTTGGGTTGGGATCCAATTGTCTAGACCCTAGAGCTATATAAACATGTATAATTAATCGTCAATAGAATAGGATTGGTTGATGAAATTCTATGCAAGGATA